TTATACAAAGTCTACCTCAGTAGGTACATCTGCTTTCTTAGAATAGAATATTGTTCATGTTATGCACTGATAATTAAAAAAAATTGCATGTGTCAATAATTATCTTACTAATATTATAAAGTTTGTTAGTATGGATGTTTGTTACTGTTTCACACAAAAAGTTTAGAGTAATATAGCTTATACAACAGAATAACAAATTTCAAGCAGGTGAAACCGAGGGTGCACCTAATAAATACCTATATATATATATATATTTATTTATTTACTTAATACAGAAAACATGTGTACTAATTTACTGAAGAAACAATAATATTCACAGAAGTATAAAACTGTGTTGTGAATATCGACGCCCTCCACCTAGTTTATATAATTCCAAAAAATAAAAAAATACATGCAAATTCTTTACCCATCATGTATTGTCTAAATTAAAGGTGCTTCGTTATATTCAGATTTTTATATATTTTATTGTTATTAAACTTAATTAGAATGTTTCAGGTTATCCACTGCAAAGAAATAAAATATGTAATCCTTTGTTTTGATATAACTGAATGATTGTCTTATCTTTGTGTTCCCATTTGCAATTGAGTTTAAATTTTTGTACTTGACAATGGTTTTCTATATTTCATTACAATTAACATTACATTCTATCCTAAAAAAACAAAAATGATGACTAACACAGAAAAAGTACAAATATTTATCAACAAACAACTACTAGAATACATACAGGAATATATATATATATATCTAGGGCAAATAATAATAACAGAAGATATCATGCAGAAAGAAATATAAAGATGAGTCACAAACTCATGGAAAGGGTACTGGTCATTAAGCAAAGTGATGAAAAATAAAGGTATACCTTTGAAAGAACAAAAGTTTTCAACATGTATCCCACCCTGTTAAACATATGGGTGCCAAACTTGGAGTACTACAGAAAAACATATGCAGAGACTAAGAGTATGTGAAAACTTAATAGAAAGAAGTGTTATTGGTGTTAAAATAAGAGACAAAATCAATCTAACAACAACACAGAAAAAAACAATATTTAAAAATGTTGAAACCACTGTTAAGCCTATGAAATGGAGGTGGACAGGCCATGTGATCAGAGAAAAAATACATAAATAGACAAAAAACATTACAGAGTGGTACCCAAGAGGATACATAAGAAGCAGACGCAGGCAAATTAAAAGATGAGAAAGCAATATTAGGAAGGCAGTATGAAAAAGTTCAGATTCAAAGAGCAAAGGATTGTATTCTATGGAGACACTTGGAGGACTATATCACATTATGACAAACTGTTAACAATCAAACCAATTCATTAAATATAAACTAATTCGAACACATTTATATGCAAAATGTATAATTAGGAAAATTTGTAAACTTGAAAGTTATCAGTAATAAAGGCTATTATTATTATTAACATTAAATTATGGAGTCATTACTAACTATTATGAAGACAAATTGTACCATGAAGACAGACAAAAAAGTAGATGAATTTGCAGTTAACAGGTGAGACATACTGCTAAATACAGTTTAACCTATAGTAGGTATTTAGACTGCTTCCTGCCTGTATCATGAAATTAATTAATCTGCTGTTTAAACTTAAACTGTACTGTTTCATAGTTTACATTCTATTGGTTTTATTTTATCAAATTTGTATTTATTATGATAGATCAAAATATATTTTGTTTTTATTTTATGGATCGTAATCATTTGGTTCATGCGCCTTCCTTAACAGTTTACGCTGGCAGGGTACCAATGGAAGATGATAAGATGAATATGAGATCATATTCATTTATCATCTTCCATCGTGGCAAATTCACAAGAAATTACACCATGTAGCTAGTTTGTGAGTTCTGTGTTGTTGAGAGTTGATGACTCTTGCCTCAGATAGTCAGCACCCAATAACGAGAGAAAATGATCTTTACATACCTGAAGTTTTCAGAGATCACTATAATTTTCTTGCACTATTTTTTTCTACTTTAATTATTAGTATTAAATGGATTCACAATTTATATATTTAATATCACTAATAAATTTCTAATCAGTTGCGCTTTTGGCAGTTCTAATCGTTCAAATAGCTGGCTAATGAAATTATTTGAAGTAACGATACTGTTCTATGATTGGGTATAATTGGACTGAAGCAAGGAAGTATACTACTCAAGAGGACTGAAGCAAAGAATATACTACCTGAAGTATTATTAAGTTTAGACCATTGACAAAATAGATAGGTTTCATTAAGTGTTGCCAGATGTCCGATGTGCTCTCCCCTAAATTCAGCCCGAAAATTCATGTTTTGCAGAAAACACTAAGTATTAATAATTAATCGACGCTAATTTTGGGGGAAAATCGCCAATTTATATTAATAAATATTTAAAATTAGATATATGACACCATATAAAGGTAATTTGTTTTATAAAAAAGGCAGTAAGTATTTATTTTAGTGAAAAATAAAAATATATATACAAAAACCTAATATTTATTAATACCTATACTTTATTAATTTTGTGATAATACATTTTAAACAAACACCTACACATTATTTCCGAGTAACTAATAAAAATGGGTAATATTATTAATTTCTGATAGTCCCACAACTTTATTTAAAAATAACTAAAACCTGGTAACTCGGATAATGTCAAATTTGTCTCCGGGTTATAGTTTATAGTTCATTATTGATGAAGATTGGCATAAGACAATTCGATATGTTCAATTACATGTAAAAATGTACCATTAATCTTCCTAAAATAAATTGTACAATAACACTTAAACTTAAAATGTGCTTCTTTTATTTCTTTTTTCCAACCCAATGTTAGTAAGTCTCCCAAGACTTGTATTATTATACCTTTAAGTGGGTTTTACAAAAAACCTTAGTTGCATTTTTTTCCGATACATGGAGATTTTTCCGAGAAATGGACATGAAAAAACTTGTCTCATCGCCACAAAATTCTCCCAGATTTCGGAGATGTGAATCAGTGAAGATGGTATCACTGAATGTCTATGGAATTTAACTGGGAATACCTTATTATTTTTTTTTTTTTTGTGGATGATAATGGAATGGTGCACCCGCCTGCGCTAACGGTTTACGCTGGCAGGGCACCAGTGGAGGATGATAAGATGAGCATGAGATCAGGTCAGTTAGCCCATCGTGACAAATTCACCAGGAATTTATCACTATGGTTTCCAGGGGGAACCGCGTGGAGGTCGACCTGACATGATACATTGCTAGCAATGGGGTTATCAATCCACATTACTAACAATCCCCTTCCCCCCCCTTATTATTATTATCGGGTCGTCCGCTGATCCTTTTATGGACCGCTGGGTACGGGCCCCGAGCTTACGCTCTTTACCCGGGCATACTGCTGGGGTATGCCACCCCAGCGTCGTTCGTTTACCGGCCGGCCGGAAGCCGGCTGCTTCCCAGCAGCCGGCTGAGGGAGTCGTGTAAGAAGACTCTATAAGTCGCTCGCCGAGCCGGCTTAATGCCGCCACGTCACGTAAATGACGTGATCAATCCACTCGGTGGAGAGAAGGTCGCGCGGGAGCGCGCGAGTTGCGTCCTGTGGGCGCGCGTGGAGAGGGGCGAGGTCGCGCAGGCGCGCTTCGCGCCCGCTGTCCGCGCGCGAGAAAATCGCGCGCGTCAACCGGACGACGAACTGCTCCACCGATGGGACCTTGAGGTCGCGGGCGATCACGTCATTACGGACGTACCGTCCGGCATTTGTGCACAGACGGAGGGCGGCGTTCTGTTGGACCTGCAGTCTCCGCCGCTGTGAGGCCGAGCACAGTGCGTACCATGCGGGGGCGGCCTGGGAATACCTTAGACTATTAATACACTACATCAATATTGTGACTCGAGATCTGGTTCGAATGAGTGACTTGAACGAATGACTTATGTTTTGTGCTAAGTTCGCTTATTTTATCTGTGGTGCTTATGCCCCTTAGCAATATGTATTTTGAAACAATCTTATTTTAAATGGATTGTAATGAAATGATGGCATCCACCAGCGCTAACAATTTATGCTGGCGGGGCATTCGTGCCAAATTCTACAGGGATTGTCCACGATTGTTTCTAGAGGGAACCGCGTGGAGATCGACCTGACATGGTAACAGTGCTAGCAATTGGGTCACTCAATAGATGGAATAATAAATTGTTTATTTACTAGATATAAACACATAGCATAATTGAGGTACAGAAAAAATAAATGTACAAAAATAAAAATGGAGGTAGGTAGAGGTAGTTTATGTCCCGCAAAAGTGAACAGGCTACTAACTCGGCATAAAGCTACAGATTAATTATAGCACTGATACTTTGTTGACTCCTATACTTAAAAATATATGTGTATTAAACTTCGAGTTCATTAGGTAATATATATTGTAATGGGTATGTTGTACATTTACGTATCACTATTATTGTAGAACTTGATGGTAGGTCTATTAAGTTAAATAATTCAGCTGTCATCCAAAAAAAATGAAGGCAACTGTTAATAATAATAACATGTTGCATGCATCAACTATAGAAAAATTATTTTACCATTAGAATCCTACATTAACAATCTTAAGAAGTGTGCTCTCTCTATTTACATAGATCACACTCCTTAAAATGATGGCCGGGTGTGAAGGTAAGCTCCAGACTCCAGGCGATTAGTTCTCAAATACACATTAGATATCGCACAGGTGTCCAATGAATATCACGAATTTAAAAGCTATACTCATTAAGTCGTAAGTCTTCTATGTCAGCAAATAACATATTTAATTCACACTACTGACGAAATAGAGATGAGGCACATAAGTACGTATCTTCTACTTTGTGGAATTCCAGAGAGTGGTGACTTGACCACTGTAGATGCCAACCATTCAAACATAAAACATCATACCTCTGATTACACATAGACTATGTAATACATTTACATTAATAAAAAATACAGATGATAAAATATCAACGAAAAAAAAAAAATGCTGTTGCTTAGCAACGACAACAGTTTGTGTTTTATCTTTCAATCGCGTCGTCAAATAGTCTGGAAATATTTCAAGATTATTGTTGAGAATGAAGAAAGTTACGAAGGATCTAGCACCTATTGCCATTCCTCATGGGCCACCAGTTGATTCTGCTGAGGAGTATTACAAATCTCTTATGGAAAGTGCCAGTATGGTGAAGTAAGCATCATTTTCATATTGCTAACTAGCTTTACCTAATGGACACTAGATGTTTTATGTCAGGTCTACTTTTATGATTACCCCGTTTGCAACCATTGTGGTTGGGATGAGGGAATTGTTAGTAATGATGAGTAATGCCCTTTGCTAGCAATGATACATGAGCTCGACTCCTACACAGTCCTCCTGGATCCTACCACAGATCAATATTCAGTGAGAAAACATAACCACCGCTATTAGAACTTGTGAGTGGTAAATTAGAACTATCAGCATTGGTAATCAAACTCCAACCTTCATTGAACCTACACTCATATTGCAACACGGGTTTCGCCTCTAAACGAGGCATCATCAACCAATGAATAGAGCTCGGATATGGCTTGGAAGCCTAGTGTTGACTGTTCGGCGACCATACAACACCACAAAATAATACCTAATTAGAATAATAATTACTACTTTAGGGATTTATATTATTTTGTTTAATTCCGCTACAATTAGCATGTGTGAGACCACAAATATTCGGTGTGGAAACTTGACTACCGTTACGACCTTCTCTAAAGGCGATCCAATTCCTAACGTTATTGACTGTACATATCGCGACACGTGTGTCACCTCTGAACAAAGCATCATCAGGCGATGAATAGAGTTCGGGCACAGTACGGAAGCCTAGTGTTGACTCCTCTGCGACCAAACCGCGATCCTCTCGCCGAATATTTGTGGTCTCACACCTGCTGAAAGTGAAATGGATTTTCGCATTTTGCGGAAGTCTGTTTCATTAAACAACATTTCACTAATCAACACCTAATTGTTGTTGATTGTAATTGTAGTGTAATTGGAAAATGTAATAATGACAAATGTCAAATAAGTGTGATGCAGACGAAGTTCCGCGGGTCAGCTAATTTGTAATATAGTCATCATATGTTCAAGCTTACCTTGAGATAATAAAATGGCGCCTGTAAGAAATAATTGTAATGATTTTAGTTTGTTTGTTGTGCAAATAAGGTCTCTCTTAACCCTCAGAAAATATCCAGTATGGGACGTGGCACGGCCAACACCACAAGTACTGATGGAGCAGGCTCGTCGAGATCTAATGGAGGCTGACGAGAAACTAGCCATCAAACGAGAGGAGGAAAAGAAGAACAGAGCAGCGATGGACGCCAAGTGGCAGGACCTGCGCACAAAGGAAATGCTCCTCAAGGAGTCCTTCATTAGTTTCAATAAGGTGAGGTTTTATAGTAACGTGTCGGGAGCGGGGACGTGATTATAATTAATAGAAATAACTAACTAAATACTAAACTAACTCGTTTCTAATGTGACGTCATAAATTTAACAATTTTACATCTAGAATTAATTTACAATTAAAATACTTAATAATATTACCATATTTATAACACCAAACCTACCCTTAATACGTGACGTAGTTTATGGAGGACTAAGTCCCATGGCTTTTTATAGTTCATCAGGGAGAACCAGGAGAAGCGTGACCGAGCTGAACGCAAGATGGTGGCAGACACGGAGGTATTGGAACGGAAGACGCACGAGACGGAGGCCATGCGACAGAGGGTCGCAGAAATGGAGGAAGTGAGGCAATTAATGGAGAAGCAAGTCAAGGATTACACTATATACGAGGTATGTGAGAAACTGTAACAGAAGTTAGCACGATCCAAGGGTGATCCAAACCTTAAAATCTCGTATGAAGTTACTCAAAAATCTAGTTATCTCCTAGTAGAAGATTTTTTATTTTACTTAGCACTTGATTTTATTGACAAGGATCTTTTCAATTATTGAGTCATACCAAACGTACAAGTACGAGATTTGTAACCTATAGCCCAAGAGCTCACGACGGCCAGACATTCGTCATATTAGTAAATATGAAAGATCTTGTATGTGTGTTCCCAACACAGGTAAGAACGATCACACATGAAACCTGGTTCGTGGTTCCTTTGGTAGGTAACAGGTAACAAAGGTGTAAAAATTTTCATATAGAATTTGTTATTTTATGAAACTCAATTTTTCACATACACACCGGACGTATGCCGAGTGTAGACAAACATATTACAAATACAGGCACAGGCCTTGTAGGTCAAAGAGCCAAATCAAACAATATTTATATACAAGATTTTATATTATTTTTATACCTTTTTACGATGCTAATTATTTTAATATAGGCAACATTGTACTGTCCTTATGAGAGACCATAAATAACGTGACTCATTGAGTTGTCGGGGAAAGGGTGGGGGGGTCGACAAAGTGTGGAACCATTAAGACCTCCGTCTCTGGATCCTAGGCTGCTAGTAACTTTTTAATTTCAGGACTACTTGATGGCGGTTGTGCACAACTATGCCGAATTCAAGCAGCCCCTCGATGTTTTGAACAGATATGAGGCGTTAGGTAAGAGTAATCAGCCAAATCAACTGACTCCAAACAGAAGAATCGTATCCCCAGTATCGTAGTCCCTTGTAACAAATCGAAGCGGGAGCCTAAGAATTAAAATAAATCTAAGTATATACGTATATAATAAAAAGAAAAAACTGTGAAACAAATAAAAGGAAAAAAAAACAGAAGAACCGTATATTGCACGAACATCCTCCATTTTTATTGCATAAATGATAAGCTATTGATTTCTAATTTTTTTATTTTTAAATAATATTTACATACTTTTTTGTTGTAACCAAAAAGTATGTAAGTATGACATAAATATTATGTAGCGTAATATTTACAATATTGTAACCAATGACGTGTCTGTAAACATTATTCACTATCTATACTGTGTAATCTTCTATTGAATTCATGATGAGTTATGATAAACAGAAATTTTATGATAAAAAGAAGCAAATTCTCCAACTGACATAGGACACACTCGTACATATGTGTATATATAGGATATATGAGCACCCGAGCGAAGTTTGGCCGAGCCACTAGTCTATCTAATATGTAATAATTAAAACGTCCGTCTTATTATGTTGCTGTATTATGTGTATCTGTCAACGAGTAGTAAAAGACTACTCGTTGACAGAATGCAAAAACTAATGAATATCTTTTCTTTGCGATTATCTTTGGAAGCCCTTATATGAATATTTTTCCCCGTTTTTGTAACATTTTTCACTGCTGCTTCGCTTCCATTGGTCGTAGCGTAATGTTATATGGCTTAAAGCTTTCATCGATAAATGGACTATCCAACACAAAAATAACTTATCAATTCGAACCAGTAGTTCCTGACATTAACGCATCCAAACAAACAAACTCTTCAGTTTTATAATATTAACAGATTTTAAGACGTAATGTGTACTACATGCGCCGATAGTTTTCGTACGCTCGCGGCGTTGACCTCGACCTTGAACATACACACAGCTGATTCGCGAGTCAATGCTCTATTACATTATATTACATTACATTAATTGCTCTATTTGTAGGTTATTTGTGATAATACTATCCTTTTAAGAAGAGACGGGAGTGTTGAAACATTAAATAATAAGTAGTTTTTTAATTATTTAAAATAGATGACTTGATGTAATGTATAGTCAAGAAAGATATAATAGTTTGAGAAACACTATTGTAAGGTCAGATTAGTCATAGGCAGGACTAAAATGCCCCGCAATGGGAACGACCGGTAGTATCACAGCTGTCCAGCTGTCAATAATAACGTGACATCCGTAGTAATATTTATGTATACATATATGTACATACAATAATAATAATAATAATCTCAGGACAGCCACTAGCCCCAAGTTAAGCTACCTAAAGCTTGTGTTATGAGTATTAGATAACTGATAAATACGTATATATTTTCTTCGTAAATACATACATATTATATTTAGAAAACACCCAGACCGACACAAACAATCATACTCATGAATACAAATGTTTGCGCCGTGCGAGGAATCGAACCCGCGACCATCAAATATATACATGAGGATGTATACATATACGTGGCCTCAGCTCGTTTACCATACAATTTCCTTAAAAACAGTACAAAGTAACACCTAATATAATAAAAGACTTTTATTAACAGCTGCTGCTAAGAACACGCTGGCAGAAAGACAAGAGCGAGATCTGGAAATGCTGGAGAATGCACGACAAGAGATTGCTTCTCTTACTGAAGAGAAAAAACTGTTCATCATGGGTTTAAACAACACCCTGGCAAATCTGAGAGTAATACTTTTAAAACATATTGTTTGTGGTGCTTGTGTTTAAAACATATTGGTTGTATTGACCGTGCTTGATTTTTTTTAGTTTGTGATAATGGAATGGTGTGGGTGACACCATTCCATTATCACAAACTAAAAAAAATCAAGCACTACAAGCCTGCTCTAACGGGGCGCATATATACGCTGGCGAGCACCAGTGAAGGATGATAGAATGAGTTTGAGGTTAGGTCAGTAACCCGACAAATGATGAATAACGCCCGATGAATGATAAACTCACCAGGAGTTTATGACGATGGTTTCTAAAGGGAAGCGCGTGGAGGTCAAACTGACATGCTACATGATAGCAATGGGATCATCAGTCCACATTACTCACAATCCCCACTACTCCTTAGTCAGCCCGACGTTCTTCTCCAATTTACCCCTTTCCTTAACACGTTGATAACCGCATTGAAAAATCTTATTTCTCACATAGGGACTCGCATTTTTTCTGTTAATTACTTATATTATTTCATTAATTTGATTTTAGTGTACAATAATTTGAGGTAGACATTATTTAACCCCTTGATTTGTTTCAATTAAAGTGCCCACGGGTGATCATCCGGTCCCAATTTGTAAATTTACTTTCGTTGCGGAGTGACCCACCTGTGGGCATGCGGTCTTTAACGTGTTAAAAAGCTGGTAACGCAAGTGCAATTCCTCTGGAATGACAAGTGCTGGGGTTTGGTGTTGGTTGGGTTTAAAGGTTTTTTGGGTTTAATGCTGTAAAAATATTACTGATAGGATATTTTTTCATCATTCATTATCATCTTATATCATTCCGAACTGACGGTAGATTTGAAATATCCTAAGAGTCTGTAATAAACCTACATTAATAAAGATATTTAAATTTATATTTTGAAACGCAAATAACAGTTTTATCAATAATATTATTAATCATAGATAATATTATTGATAAAACTTTTATTTGCGTTAAATGGCACACTCAAGGTACAGTAATAGAACAGTTACGACAATTAATATGACGAAAATGATGCAAAGTGAATACATATACATTTGGCAGACACATTGGTAATTGTGTACAATATAGACGCAAACAACATATGAGCAGTGTGTGTGTGTGTGTGTGTCGCCATATACCCATAAAAGGCATTGCTCAGTGTATTGTTTGCTCAAGCATCGTACCACACTTTACTACGCGTATATTATTCGTATTAGCAGTGGCACTCAATGAGGAAATAGCCATTATTATTGCTAAAAGTTGCATATAGATGGCGTGATTGGTATCGATGGAATTCTTCATAGTTTTGCAAACGTTTTAAAAAACAAAACTGTGTTTTCAAAATAGTTTAATCCATTTTAAAAAAAATATATATACATGTTAAAATGAAATAATGCGTTTAGAAAAGTAATTTTCATATATTTACTCATTTTGTTATTTTCCAGTACTTAATTACACTTTAATCAGTGCTAATACGGGGCTCAATGTTTTCAAAATGCTTTCATAGATGGCATTGTTGTCATTTGTATCGGCCTAATTAAATGTCTTTTTTATATTTTCCAATAATAAGCACTTAATATATTATTATTGTAAATTAAACATATAAAAAAAGTTTAAGTAAATTAAAAATAGCCGAACAAGCAAATAATACTATTTCCAATAATACTTATGTATGAAGTGTTGTCATATTAAAAATAAATACATGTATTATCGATTTTTTTTAATAATCGATAACAGGATTTTATTACAGCGCATTATTCGATGATGCTTTTAATGAGTCGTTGTGAACAGTAAATTTTCATTATTTTGTATTAAGTATAGCAGTATTCCGTTTCAAAGAACGGAATATAGTAGTACATTATTACTGTCGTTGGTTATTTACATTTGTACTGAAAAATCGATTACATAATAATTTAAAATATCGAGTACGAATCGTAGCTGTCTTCGAATACTGGCAACTGGTAAGATTAAAATAGTTTTAAAAAAAAGAGAGAAATCGACCCTAACTCGAATACCATAAAGTTTATTTTCCTTTCTCATTAATATCATAGCAGTTTGTTTTTAACTTGCGTATGACTCTGTGGTATGATGTTTAACGTGTATTGTTATTGTACGGTGCATACATTTCAAAAATTATATTTTAATGTAGGTACAAACATTTCTTTCATACATTTCATACATGTCAAAAATTATCTTTTAATGTAGGTACATACATTTCTTTCATACATTTCATACATGTCAAAAATATCTTTTAATGTAGGTACATACATTTATTTCATACATTTCATACATTTCAAAAATGAACTTTTTATGTAGGTACATACATTGTTTTCATACATCTCATACATTTCAAAAATTATATTTTAATGTACATACATTTCTTTCATACATTTCATACATTTCAAAAATGAACTTTTTATGTAGGCACATACATTTGTTTCATACATCTCATACATTTCAAAAATTATATTTTAATGTAGGTACATACATTTCTTTCATACATTTCATACATGTCAAAAATTATCTTTTAATGTAGGTACATACATTTCTTTCATACATTTCATACATGTCAAAAATTATCTTTTAATGTAGGTACATACATTTCTTTCATACATTTCATACATTTCAAAAATGAACTTTTTATGTAGGTACATACATTGTTTTCATACATCTCATACATTTCAAAAATTATATTTTAATGTAGGTACATACATTTCTTTCATACATTTCATACATTTCAAAAATGAACTTTTTATGTAGGTACATACATTTCTTTCATACATTTCATACATGTCAAAAATTATCTTTTAATGTAGGTCCTTACATTTCATACATTTCAAAAATTTCATACAATACATTTCTTTCATACATTTCAAAAATTATCTTTTAATGTAGGTGCATACATTTCACACATTTCAAAAATTTCATACAATACGTTTCTTTCATACATTTCAAAAAGTATTTTTTAATGTAGGTACATAACACCCCATGTCAGACCCCTTATATTTGGATGAAACTTAAAAATAATGCCAAAAATATTAGATGAATATATTTTTAATACGAATATTGTTTTATTTTTGTTCATCAACTTTATCCCTCACTAACAATACTAGTAGTAGTACATAACCTGGTTTATACCGCTAAAGATATTGAAAGATATACGAGTAATTCAGAATGTTATCAAGTTCAAAATAAGCACACATTACTTGCTTAGATAACAGAGTAATATTACTAGTAATAAAAACATTTGTAATACCCATATGTATACTACGTATGTATAGTAAGTACTTACGCTGCGGCGCCGTTTTTTTATCGTCTAAGTACCTCATCTAATCTACGCGCGGTAACCGCGCCGACCGACCAATAGGATAGCGCCTCTCGTGTTTCCAGAAAGTTCGCGACTAACGGACGATATAGTAGTAAGGCAATGAGTGTCCCAGTGATATCATTATAATATTTTCTCGTTAAATTTTATTGTAATATACACAATTTCGCACTAAATAACGTGTTACCCCGTTACACATTTCTAATAATGAAAAACCTAGACCGACCCTGTTCACTTAATCTTACAAGATCTGACTTTAAAAATTACGATATCCTCATATAGCCTTTCATTTCCCCTTTCAATACTTTTTCGCATTAAAAAGTAGCCTTTCTCAGGGTCTACATTATCTGTCTACCAAATTTCAATTAAATCAGTTCAGTAGTTTTGGCGTGAAAGCGAGACAAACAGACAGACTGAGTTACTTTAGCATTTATAATATTTGTAAGAATATCGCTATTAAAAATAGGGGTTGGTGAAAGACGGGTGAAAATTTAGGCGTGTATGTATTTTCAATATAATATTATAAATAAATAAAAAATTGTCCATAATACAAAAAAATATTTTTTCGGGGTAGGCCACCCCTATGACTTAGGGGTATAAAAAATAGATAACAACCCTACCTCAGACCTGGGAAGTATACATATCAAATTTCATCAAAATGTGGGAGAAATATGGCAACTAACACTGTGATACAAAATTTATATATAAGATATAGTGGAATTCTCATTAGGTAAAAGAGGGGTACATCGTAGAATACATGAGGTATATACCAGTAAATTAATTGTAGCTAAAATCAGTCTCATACATATAACGATTGAAATAAAAAATCGTATAGCCCGATTTTGATACGTACGAGTATAAACGTATCAAAATCAGGCTATACGTATAGCGCAGACGCGTTACAACATATCAAAAAAAATAGGCATGGAATGTAAAATAAACCATAACACAATAGGTATATACATTGGCACATAAGCCATATCTGCAGAGTGTCGGCTAACGATATTATACCTACACATTTACATTGAATCTTGAATCGTCCCTAATGAGGTACACGATACAGTTACCTACATATCTATTATATACATATCTTTGCAAAACAGATGTCATGTAGACTGAATTCACTGCCATCTATTTTCATGCTTTGTTACTAAGCACCCACTAGTAATCCGAACTGCTTCAGATCTAGCGACATCTAGCGGCTACGGTGGCGAAATAAAATAGCCCGAAGAATAGCCCGAGTTAGGAAGGAACCATTTTCTTGTATGGGATGGGGTATCTGTATGTAATATTATGTTATCTGTGGTATTAGTATTATATGGTGTGATAGCAGGTTTTTTTATGGATGATAATGGAATGGTGCACCCGCCTGCGCTAACGGTATACGCTGGCGGGGCACCAGTGGAGGATGAGAAAATGAGCACAAGGTCATGTCAGTTAGCCCATTGTGACAAATTTGCTATGAATTTATCACGATGGTTTCCAGGGGGAACAGCGTGGAAGTCATCTTGACAGGGTAGATTGCTAGTAATGGGGTCATCAGTCCACATTACTAACAATCCCCTTTCCCCCCGCTGGCATTACAAACACATCTTACCCCTCCGATCGATCCTCCGTCCAATTCAAATTGAGATCGAAATTACGACGGCCTGAGCCGAGTTTCGAACCCCCAGCGATGCTCTCAGGCTAAAATCGTGTCTGTCAGGCGTCAAATGTTGCTAGCATTGTCAATAGCATGTCAATAGTATAATCATTGCGAAACAACGCAATTGGATGGATTAGAAATAAATTCCAGAGTACGTCGGCTTGTATGCCATTCCTGTTACCAAGATAATAAAGTAGGTATCAACTTTATTTACGTGCCACAAATAACTAATTTAAACCTACGACATACAATTCTGAACATTTTATCAATAACAACCAAATAGGATGCTTAATATTAAACGGCCAATCTCAAAAAATACATATTATGCACAATATACATTAATGCTTTCGGTTTAAGGTCGAATTTTATGTGATTTCAAGAGTATTTCAGCGAAATATCTCTACAATCTTTTAAAAGATTTTGCCCTGCCTAGAACTGTAGTGGGTTTTATATTAAAACGTGTATCTAAAGCTAATACTTTCCGCATTTAGTCTCTCTTCTGGGCCGTTGTGCTGGTGTACTATGTTCCTCTCATATGTGCAACATAATTTATATACTTCAGGATTACGTGAGCCGTTCTTCAGAATGGGTTACAAAGGATACATTTCATGGTAACCAAAACTGACCTAAAGCTTTTCAAAACCTTGTTTAAAAATATTCTGCTAATCGTGTCTATGGCTATACTTTTAAATGTTTGTTTTTAAATCGAAACTGGCCCCCTTGGCCCCGAGAGCTACGTTGTCTAGAAGCCATATCATGGTTAATCCGGTTTTGGGGAATGGGGATGAAGATTCACCTTGATGTAATTAATAGGCATCTAACATCCAACATCCCCTTGAACTGGTGACATTATTGTTCCACAGTGGCGTTATGACAAAGTCAGGAACCGCGTCATAAAATGGGAGTTGGCCCTCAACCGTCTGAAGGAGACCGCCGCCAGGAAGCACGTGGAACTATGTCATGTCCGCTCAGCCATCTGGAGCCTCTACACCAAGATCTGTAAGCAGAAGGGCCTCCCCATTGACGTGAAGAGTTCCGATTTCGAGCAACAGCTGGTCGTCATTATGAGGGCGTTGTTGGAGCTGAGAAGGATTTACAGAATAGCACAGAGGAGATCTAGAGAGAAGTATGTCATTAATACTGTAACAGACAGCCAGAGATGTGCAAAGTATTTTACAAAATGTATTTAAATAGAAAATACATTGCGTTTTCTAAAGGAGGCATAACTCCGATCAGAGTCGGTTTCTATCTATATGTTTAAAATTTTTAACAATCTTCAAAAACGCCTATATACATGTACTGCACTACGTAGATCACGATCCGTGATACCACTACTGCGTTGCTATTCCAGAGCACTGTCTCTAAAATTAATCATCAAAGTCGGCCCACCTATAAAAAAGTTTTGAAATAACAAAAAATTACAGTCGAATTGAAAGCAGCCTCTTTTTGGAGTAGGTTAAAAAGAAAACTTTATCTCTACATATGTATACACTCGCGAGCAACCAAATCGACTCAAGCGCTACCTCTATATTCAAACATTGTTCTACATAAAAGGATAAAACATTTAAATAGAAATTATATGTCATTTGAAAGCTTGAAACCTAAGGTTTAAAAAAACATTAACACCATAAAATAAAACAAGTACCAACATGTTCATTTGCGCAATTAGGGCGTATGGGACAAATTAATCACTGCGCTACTTGCGAGTTGCGCTACCCTGTACCCCTATAGAAACCTCTATGATCTTTCAACCCTCATCAGTCGTAAATCAACGGTTGCTATTTTTTTTCAGGGATGCAGAATCAATGCACACTGTGTAGTGGTGTGACCAACGTAACCTTTACATACCTTTACGTACGACTGAATGTTATAAAAATATTAAAATAAAATAAAACATTTTTTTATGTAAATACATATTGTGTGGTTGTACAAGTTAGTAAGAGTTAGGTTTGAATATCTTTTATGTCAATTCATTGTCGGGTTTATTTTCATTTCAAATTTATCGTCGTTTTACACGAAAGTAATATTCTTGAACCATACAATATTTGTTACAATAAATTAGAACAAAAACTATTTGTAATCCTTCGTAACTAATACATTGTTATCTAAAATCAATATTAATATTATAAAGCTGAAGAGTTTGTTTGTTTGAACGCGCTAATCTACTACTGGTTCGAATTGAATAATTATTTATAAGCTCACAGAAGAAGTGATAAGTAGTGAAGATAGTATAGAGTCACTGTCCCTATGTATGCTTAAATCTTTAAAACTAAGCAACGGATTTTGAAGAGTTTTTTTTTTAATAGATAGTGATTCTAGAAGAAAGTTTATATTTTAATAAATACAAGTACACCCGTGCGAAGCCGGGACGAGTAGTTAGTTGATAAATAAAAATTAACCTTAACACGACTTATTGCTTTCTCATTAGACAAGTGAGTATCAGCAACATGTACTGATATTTTTTTTATTTACCTACACACAAATTTATACAATATAATATAAAAACAATAAGCCGCAAAACTGCTCAGCAGTTTTTGATTTTGTGTTTACTTCGAATTTATTATTGTTATAAAAATATACATGTATTTACATTAGCATGCGTAATTGCCTTGTGGTCTGATAGGTAACATCATCATCAGTTGCAGCTGTGGATATGAATACTAATAATTATTATTATTAACTAAAACTATTAATAAAAATTACAAATTGGCCATGTAGACACCGACGGAGCTAAATGTTCCACTTGCCAGGAAATACTAGGCAGGTATTCTAATGAAATAAGTTGAAAATGGGGTCCAATTATGAAACACTGATTAACAATTCTCACTTGTCGCAAATTAAAATTGAAAGTACCCCAGGACTTCACGATTTCCAGGTACTGCGCGTCTATAAAATGTTAATACTAGTACCTACTCTCTGGGATGAGCATTGTTTTCCTGTTTTTAATTAGTCACCGGAGAGATTGTGGTATCCGGCATTTTGTATTGTAAATTTAATTATGAGTAATTGTATTAAATCGTAATAAATTAGATGTACCGAATAATATTTTATTTTCAATCAGTCGTAAAAACTCTATAATATCATATGTATCTATTTTAACACTTTGACGGACAGTATGAACAAGTTAAGTTCGAAAAATAACACTATATGTTTTTGTAATTTTTAGAATATTGGACGTATAGTTTTACTTTGTCGGCTTAAGTAAACCTAATTTAGAGAAAACACGATCGCACTACTCCCTTCACAACTACGTGCGTACTAAAGCTGCAAGTCGTGTGGAAAACAAAATTCAACCTAACAAGTTTCGAAAATATGATACTAGGCTTCTACTCGTACTCGTAAATGCACGTTTGTGCCGCTATATACGCAGTGTCCAAAAACGACCATGTCGTTTTAATTCAATTCAATTCAAAATATCTTTATTCATGTAGTTCTATTACAGACTTATGATATATCAAATCTACCCTCAGTTCGAAATGATTTCGAGATGAGAAGAACTGACAAGAAACTCAGGTCGTATTTTTTTAAAATGTGGTACATATTTACAATAATACATATTCATTTAAATTCAAATTTGGGACAACAGTGTGACTACCAGCATAAGCTATTGCAAAAAAAAAAAACAAAAAAATCTAATCAGTGTCATGACACATTGTGAACTTCCTTTCGACGGCTATAGACGCAAGTGTCCGTCAACTTGTTAATATTCCTAGATCTATGAGGAGGTATAGATTTTATAACGTCACGTTTTAATTTTAAAATGGTTAGCTATTAACTTTTTTTTTCGGTCTACTTTAATGTTGTTCTGTTGGCCACAGCTGGCCTTTACAGCTTCACTGAACGATAGGAGGCGAGTGTAGATGGCACTCCAAACCCGCGAAAGGGCTTATGGAGCGGCTGACGGATACGGTTTTAGTCTGAGGGCACCGCTAGGGGTTCGAACCTCCGCTCAGGTCATCGTACTTTCGATCCCCATTTGAATTGGATCGAATCGATCAGAGAGGTGGGGGATTGGAGGGGGTACTAGCTGTGACAGAGTAAAGGTATATTTTTAGTCTATAAATATTTTCTTTAGTTTGCGCGATGACTCAATCAGATTAAAAATACCTCTCGAAAGTATTTGATACGGTACCAGCCATAGTTTATCCAAACTGGTGGTAGGTGTGTACTAATTTGTATAACATTTTTGTACACGTCACGAGCCGAGCCCACAATTTTAAAGATCTGGCCACTTTAATAGTGTAGGCGAGACGACCTTCGCGTACTTCAATATTTATATGACCTAGGAAATAGGGATGTCAAAAGTAAATTGTTTCGACTCGCACAAAGAAATATAGAATCTCTAATCTGTAAAATGTGTAACTCAATCGACAATATCTTATCTTTTATGCCGATATCTTAATCGACTTAAACGTCAGGAGCTCAGGAAAAGGACCAAACAGGACCCATTATTTGATGCTGATACTCAGCACAGCACATGCCGTACAGCAACCTCTTCTGTTAGGTGGTGGGTTTTAAATAATTTGTTGATAATGCATAGGTGTACCAGCCTACGCTAACGGTACATGCTGGTGGGTGATAGGATGGTAGGATGGGCCTGTCAGGCCCGTTGGTCCATCGTGTCGAATCCATCAGCTATGAATGATTATGCGATATGCCAAAACTAGCTATAGTCGCCATAACTAACAATCCCTTCCAGCCTTATATGGTGGTAAGTACATATTATTATACTCTCTGAACACTAAACGAAGGTAAACAAAGGCCAGTACTTATTTACTTGATAAAAAGTCACGAAATGTTGCTGCGATAAAAATAGAAATAATCTTTATTCGAATAATAAGTTTATAAACTTCGAATAGTATTTTTTTTATTCTACGGTTTATTCTGCATGCGTACTCATCACAAGAAGAATTAATATTGCTCTTTTAAATAGATGTCCAGAATTACATTTTTAAGAAGCTGTTTTGCAAAGAATACGGCTTATACAACATTTGAATGTTTTTTCTGGCAGATTTAGGACAGACTCTGGCAGTTGTAAAACCTTAGGCAATTCCCACAAAAGGACTGAAAAATTTATTCAAACATCTCAGTAGGTCAAATTCCAGTACAAAAGTATAAGAGAATGTGATATCCTCGTGCCTGGTACTGAATATTTAGTATTCAGATCTCATTCCTGTAATGTGGATACTCGTATGATGGGCATCCCTGTTGTAAATGTAAAGTTGACGCCAGCGGCATGCCGTGACGCATCTGCTACGCGGCACGACGACGCGACTACTCGATGTATGTAAGCAGTGCTACGCGTATCTTTAGTTGTAATGTGGACTATGACCCCACAGCTAACAATGTGCCACTGAAATTATCTTGCTTTTAAATTGAAATAGAAACGATCATTATATAAAAGTTTAATTTTAAACATATTCTGATAGTATTTTTTAAATCTACCTTATTATATATTTAGTAGAGATTTAAGTTTGAACTGAGTTTAGAACATTCTAAATTGATTCCCATAAATAGTTTTGTCAGTATTATAAAGTAGATACAGTTTAAGTATTTTACTTGTGTCATACAGTTTAGAATTATTTAACGAATCTGTCATTAGAGAGAACAAAGTTTTATGTAGCCTCTAAACGGAGTCGTTATTAATTAGGTAGCGTAATTATTTAAGTACTAATTACTTAGTTCGAACTTTAGTAGTTTACAATAATGAAATTGTTCTTAAGTTTTTTAAGGTCCTTTTAGAAAACGTTTTTTAGATAAAATTCCACTTTACTTACCATGAGCTTGATTGTGTTAAATAATTACAATGATTTTATATTTCTAAATAACTCTCCGGTGAAGGACATGCTGATAAGAAAACCGAGATAATAGCCGAGTGACGTCGGTAAGCTCGCCTACTGGCACATTGTAATCAACTATTTATTACTTGTTTTGTTATGCTTACGTTTACTATTCAATAATTATGTTAAAAATAGGAAGGATCCAAGATCGATAACAAAAATATATACCTAGTTTTTGGTAGCAGGGAACTATGTTTACGTTTAGGAAAAAGTTTGTTTCGAATTGTTTGCACATACGTATGTATGTGCAAACAATTCGAAACAAACTTTAACATTATTAAATACTAGCTGTGCCCGCGTGAAATTATATAAGTTATATTACTGTAAACTTTCATCAAAATTCGTTCAGTATTTTGCGTGAAACAAACTTCCATCCATACTCACAAACTTTAGCGTTAATAATATTAATAAGGTGGACAGATAAATCATATAATTGTTTAATGTTCTATAACGAGGTATACTGGACTGTTATATAGTTAGATCCGAAAGGATTTTTGCTCCAGTAGTACCGCACTAATGCTGATAAGGCAATGGCGGAAATTGTCACATTAATATGTAAATATTCATTTTCAGTTATCATGGTTATTTGATCCAATTTTCGTGTCGATTATAAAATTTTATTTTTAGCCAGTAAAATATTTTTTTACAAATACAATTTTCAATCCTTCGGACTTAAAGTACAAAATTGTTAGTTTGTAGTCTACACATTATCCTAAAACATATTGTGTTTGCTTGAAGAAGTCACTTTTTAGAGATAAGCTCGCTGTTTTGTTATATGTTACTGTTTTTTCCTGTGTGTACATATAATACACAGGAAAAACAATATATGTAGAAATAATAGAATAAAAAGTATTTCGGAGCGTTATCATATTATAATAGGTAGGTACTAATGCATGTTGCATTAGTATCATTATTTAGTTATGATGTAAACCAATTGAAACTCATATAGGACGTCGTATATGTATATATGATGATGAATTTCTGTTATTATTATTTTGCAGTACATAATATTATTTCATCATTCCATTATAAAACCGAGGAGGTCGTATCTTTTTCCATTGCGGTGGTCAGGTTTCCGAAATAATATTTTTGGTAACACACATACCTACTAATTTAAATACTTTATATGTGAAGTACAGGTTACAAAAGTCTTAAGAAATAGATAAAAGTTTCACTGTCTTCTGCAATAACGCGTACAAATATTATTGAAAATAATATATATATATATATATATGTATATTATTGTAGGATTCTAAAAATATCTAATCTTCGTGATCTAGTAATTAATTTATGCTATAATAATTCTTGTCTTATAAATATTTCTTCAAAGTAAATTTAAAATGACTAATGTCATCAGTAAGCTTTATTCTCTTGGTATTTTATTATATACTAACTACCCACCCCGGCGGCAAGATTCGTTGCACGCAACGTAATCTTTAGAACCACGGTTCTAAAGATTACTTGGCACGAGTAATCTTTAGAACTACGCAACGGATCTTATAGCGGATGTTTTTAATAGATATAGTGGATTCAACCATTATAATTTCAATTAAACAATAAACAATTATATATTAATTCAATATAATGATTCAAGAGGAACTAGTATATGTTACTCTTGAATCACTATAGGAACATGTACATGTTCCTCTTGAAAACAACCGCTTCAAAATCCGTTGCGTAGTTCAAAAGATTTAAGCATATGTAGGGACGGACAGATAGCGACAGCGACTTTGTTTTATACTATGTAATGATGATTGTAGGAGTATAATGGTAGCGAATTTAAACAAAATGTTATAAATTCATTATGTCAGTTTCAATCAGTAACATTCAAATAATCGTAGGACTCCATATGTGTAGGTTCCTTAAATTTATGTGTGATACTTAATTGGATTGTACATAATACAGTACAATGTAGGCTGCTTATAAAGGCTTGAAAGCCATTAGATCAATGAAAAATATTACAAATAGGTACTAATAGCATTTCCTATTTATTTTACATTACATAAAATCTATCGAAGTAAAAATATAAGAGAACAGATTGTAGAATCACACCATAAATATGTTCACACGCAAACTAAAGAAACAAATGACATTAAACACAGAGAGAATAAAGAACTACACGCATTTTATAGAGATACCGCTAAAAATAGCCGGCTGTTGGGACTGGTATCCTAACACCAATGTCGGATATTACACAATAATTAATAACATTTACCTCAGCTTAGTGTTATATCTTTTAACTAATGTCCTGACTACATTAATTGTGACTTTATATACCGAGTGGGGAGACATTATGGTCTCCTTACATAAAATGTCTGATTGTCTACCCTTTTTCGTTTCTATCAATATTGTCGCTTACTTTGCGGTTCACAAGGCAGATTTGTACGATCTTGTTAGGTTCATGAACGAACGCTTTGAGTATTATTCCGCTTATGGACTAACTAATATGACAATGCTGAAGAGTTACCAGACTGCTAGGAATTTTGGTTACGCGTACACCGCCTGTACAATGTTTAGCGTGACCATTTATGTCCTGCCGGATGCTATTAACTGTGAGTACCTACAAGTTATTTATCTGCTTTATATAGGTTACATCGTTATTAAGATTAAACACATTGTTCCATATTTAGTTACATTTTGAGCAGACAAATTTAAATCAATGTTAAAATTATATCAATAATAATAATAACATGTCAGGACAATTCACACAGCGCCATCTAGTCCCAAGCTAAGCAGAGCTTGTGTTTTGAGTACTAGACAACTAATATAAATATATGGATATTTTTTTTTTGTAAAAAAATACACATTATACATAGATAACACCCAGACTGATACAAACAATCATACTCATGAATACAAATGTTTGTACCGTGCGAGGAATCGAACCCGCGACCATCAGATAGTGAAGCGGTATGCTATATCACTAGACCACCGAGGCTGTCGATATTATACTTATAGTAGCACACAAAATAAAGTATAATTACACTCATTAATTTTTTAATAAGAATACACGTTCCCTTTTTACGGAGATAATACGTTGGAACACGCGGACCCACGCGTGGATGCGTTTAAAAGTTATATGAAAATGATAAAAGTGATGACGTAAGAAATTTTCTTATTGTTATTATTATATTATTATTCGTTACAGTGTTCAAAGGACAAGCTCTGGAGAATTGGGTCTACTTGGACGTGAATGGATCTCCGTTTTCAGAAATCGTTTTTTTGCGACAGTGCTTCGCTCAAGGCGTTATGGGACTGGCAATAGGCCAATTAGGTAAGTCTTAGTTCTAAGTTCTCTTCAAACTATTTTAAAAAGGTGTTAAGTCCACAATTCGACTATACTTTGGTACATGAGGGCCTCGCTGGTAGCTGAGGGCATGTAGCGGGTAAGCACACCACCTTACTACCGATGATCGCGGGTTCGATTCCTCGCACAGTAGAAACATTTGTATTCATGAGTATGATTGTTTGTATTGGTTATAGATAGAAAACATCTAGGTTTTCTATCTATAATATGAATGAATTTACAAATATATATATATGTCAATTATCTGGTACCCATAATACAAGCTCTGCTTAGACTAGATGGCGCTGGGTGATTTGTCCTGAGTTAGATAGATAGATAGATCATTCTTTTTTTATTTGAAAGCTGTTACTTCTAGTGCTGGGCTTCTCTAATAATAAGATTCAATTGATTTGAGCGATTTAATTCATTCTGCAAGTGGAAGGGTATTTTCAGTAATGTGGACTAATAACGCCATTGCTAGCAATGTTAGGTTGGCCTCCACGCGGTTCCCCTGGAAACGTAAGTTGCCATTTGCCAAGATGAGGTAACTGACCAGACATCAGGTCTGCTCATCTAATCATCCTCCACTGGTGCCCCGCCAGCGTGAACCATTAGCGCAGGAGAATTTACGAAAAAAAATTGCCATTATTATTCATAAAAAAATTACGGCCCCAGTGGTCTATCGGTTTAGCATATCGCCTTCTAGATGAAAGTAAGATAGTAACGACAAATATTTTGTATCCATGTGTTCATGTACTAATCAGTAAATATAAGATCCCATACTAAACTAATACTAAAAGTTATCATATCTAGAACCCCTCCCAAACGATTTTTACACGGACTTTTTTAAAAACCCCTCCTAGTACATTTTGTCTAAAATCTTTTAACGTGTGACGTAATTTATAGGACCCCTCTCACCCGATTTCATGATAATGTCACATTTTGTCTAACCCCCTCCCCCGTCTCCATCCTTTAACGTGTGACGTAATTTATAGGAGCCCTCTCACCCGATTTCATGATAATGTTACATTTTGTCTAACCCCCTCCCCCGTCTCCAACCACCCCCTACTCCACATCCTTTAACGTGTGACGTAATTTATAGGAGCCCTCTCACCCGATTTCATGATAATGTCACATTTTGTCTAACCACCCCTACTCCATCCTTTAACGTGTGACTTGATTTATAGGACCCCTCTCACCCGATTTCATGACAATGTCACATTTTGTCTAACCCCCCCCCCCCCGTCTCCATCCTTTAACGTGTGACGTAATTAATAGGACCCCTCTCACCCGATTTCATGATAATGTCACATTTTGTCTAACCCCTTCCCCCGTCTCCATCCTTTAACGTGTGACGTAATTTATAGGACCCCTCTCACCCGATTTCATGATAATGTCACATTTTGTCTAACCCCCTCCCCCGTCTCCATCCTTTAACGTGTGACGTAATTTATAGGACCCTTTTCACCCGATTTCATAACAATGTCACATTTCGTCTAACCCCCCCCCCCCCCCCCTTCCATCCTTTATCGTGTGACCACAGGTGTGACGTAATTTATAGGTCTCCTTTCACTCGATTTTATGTTTTTCTACACGTTCTTTATGACTCGTCCATCATTAGTTTATACACGATGTCACATTTTGTCTGTTTTGTGGTAAATGGTCCACTGTACATATGGAAACAATATATAATACCAACATAAAGTACATACTAATATTAATTAGTGTGTGTGTGTGTGTGTAACATAGTATGGGATTTGCATGCAAGTTTTAGTCACGTAGGCCAGTGTAGGTTGACCAACTCACATAAATAATTTTCGAAATTTAATCTTGCTACTATTATACACGTGAAAGATTGTAAGTATCGCTGGATACATGAATGAGGTTTGTTACTCTTTCACGCTGAAATGAGATAATCAAGTTTTTTTATTAAATGGCAAAGTACCAGTGACCCATTTATGGAGCAATTCACACAGCGCCATCTAGTTCGAAGCTAAGCAGAGCTTGTGTTATGGGTACTAGACGACTGATATAAATACTTAGATACTTTTTTGTAAGCATATACATAATATACATAGTAAACACCCAGACCAATACAAACAATCATATTAATGAATACAAATGTTAGTACTGTGCGAGGAATCGAACCTGTGACCGTGGTAAACCGCTAGAGCTATGCTATAACAGTACAATTAACGTTCTCGCGATTCTTGTCTTAGGACACGGGATTCAAGGGTGAACGGGGGACTTCCCGATAAAACCGGTACATGTGGCTATCCTACCGATTATTAAAAATTGCGTCAGACAGACAAATATCCTATTTTTATAAATTCCTGGTGTATTTACTACGAGGATGATAAAATTACCATGAGGTCAGGTCAGTGTTATATTGTATATAGCTTTTATGCAATAACTACTGAACGGATTGTGATGAAACTTACAGTAATATAGCTTATACATCAGAATAACACTTAGGCTATAATTTTAAAAGATATTATGTAATTTGGACGAAATATAATGATAAATGTGATAGAAGTGTGATGCAGACCAAGTTACCCGGGTCAACTAGTAATCTATAAAATTTTCCACGTGCACAGAATACACTGGACATAACATTGTTACAACCTATAAGCACTGTTCGCATATAAATGATTTAATTAAGTCGTTATCAGCTTATTTTACATTTACATAACGAAATGTACATGTCATACGATACATTGTTTTGGACATTTTATTTATTTCTTCATTGCACTAATACCGTTCTAACGGTCGGTATTGGGTTTTTTAAAAGACAAGGGCAGTTCAATTAAGCGGGCCATAATACGTGATATGTGTAAGGGGGGAGGGGGTCGAGTCAAATCTCATCTAATCTTACGTTGGAGATAGGGAGGGTCTCGGCAAATATTACGCAATTTTTTTTCTGATTGAAACAAAAATAATTATATATTTTGGTCCGTTTAATCCAGATTGTACATGCTTATTACACTTATAACTCTCAGCAATATTATATATACGGGATGCACCGCCCCCCATCTCGGCTCCTATAGTGTGGACGGCAAACTTGTACCCCTGAGACTGCTCCACCTGGGCCCATTGTCCCAGCCTGCGCCGCCCCCCTTCCTTGGACTATCGGCCGACATAGTAGCAGTATCCCGAAGGAACTACTACTATCCGGCCCAAGACGTACCAGAACCAAACCAATGGTCGGCCACCGTTCCTCGCGGACGTATCCACGAGGATGGGGTAGCCTCCCAATGGCTGGAACATACGAGGAGGTTGCCCGACTCACGCCCCATGATGGACTGACCTAACCAAACCTCATGCTCATGTAATCGTCCTCCACTGGTGCTTCACCATCGTAAACCGTTAGCGCAGGTGGGTGCACCATTCAGTAATCATACTTGTGAGTAAGAGATTTTCAGCAGAAAAACAGTTTATCTTGTTTGAAATAAAAACTATTGGTTATTATATTCATCTGAAGGGTACTATTTAAGTGTGTATTTAGTTTAATGTATATTGGAAAATTCGAGTCTTATATCAGTCCCGTTTTCTTATACCTATCAAATATATATCTTATATATAAAATTCTCGTGTCACAGTTTTCGTTCCCATACTCCTCCGAAACGGCTTGACCGATTCTCATGAAATTTTGTGAGCGTATTGAGCAGGTCTGAGAATCGGCCAACATCTATTTTTCATCCCCCTAAATGTTAGGGGTAGTCCAGCCCTAATTTTTTATTTTTATTTTTTAGACAAAATTTTTAGTTTTAATTTTTATGATACAACATACAAAAATACCTACAATCCTAAATTTTCACCCTTCTATCATCAACCCCTATTTTTTTACAGCGTTATTAATTTATATGGCAAAACAACGTTTGCCGGGACAGCTAGTAGTTTATAAGACCAAACTTTAAGATTTTTTCTCTGCTACAAAAATTAATAAATCTTGTAACGAGAACAGAACAAAAATTAATCAATGATGTCAAAGATGTGAAATACCTAAATATCAGCCCCGAAGGATTTGTATTTGTCAATATTTGCGATACGTAGTCTTAATTACTTTTCTCTTCTCTCCTGTTGCAGGTGTGTTTTTTGCTGCAAACGCTGTTCTATTGTGTGGTCAATTGGATCTTCTATGCTGTAGTCTTCGCAATGTACGCTACACGGCAATGCTTTGTAATGGTGTACAACACGCAGCCATCGCGGCGGTTCACTCCGACATACAGACCGATGAATTGTATAATTATATATACAACAGGCCCGAGATGAAACCTTCATTGCACAGTTTTAACAAGAATGTGGTACGTTTTTTAAAATATACATATAGTATATATGAAACCTATATATGTAAATATGAATTGCTGTTCGTTAGTCTCGCTAAATACAAGAACTCAACTCAATCGATTTGGCTAATTTTAGTCTTGAAATATTCGTATGTAAAATAGTATAGTAATGTTTGAGGCGGAACAGAGTTCGCGAGGTCAGCTACTATATATATATCCCATCAAAAACATAAATGTGAAATGATAGCCGAGTTTAATATTATGATATATGCCTTGATTGTTGACTTCTACGACAAAAGCGGTGAGATCTAAATGGGTGCCAAGTTCAATGGTCTGTCCTGAAATGAATTTATAACAATATATAATATCATTTCTTCTTATAACTTAGGATAATATACTGTAGCCTAAGGTCTGACTTGGCCAGTTCTCATATACCAATTATTACTTTCGATTGCTAGTTACTACTAATAATAAAATAGGAACCGACAAGTAACTGTTGTAAATGTTTAGAACTTGCGAAGGCTACAGTATATTTCGTATATGAAAACTAGCCAAGTATGTGTATAGATATATATATACACATACTAGCTACTCGCTCCAGCTTCGCATATACTTGTGTTATACCTACATATATATAAACAACAAAATAATCTTAATTATATACAAAGTGAGCAAAAGTGGACTTATCTCTAAAAGAGTGTCTACCTAATACTAATCTCTACCTAACACTGTGACATTGCTAGTAGTGAATAGATAACACTAGTGCAACTAGCAGTATAATGTAATATATATATACAGTAAATATATATAATATATATTTCAAATCTTATAATATTTGTCTGTATAAAATGAATTTTATTACAATTAATGTCACTTAAAATGGCCTGTATGAGGGACATCCAGTTACATGTTCTGGGTGATAAAGTTTGATTCTATTATGGATTGATAAATGAGTTTATTTTACGTTCACTTCAACTGAGTACTAACTACATACACACATATTTGTATGTGTGTGTGCTTCTGTGTAAGCTGTGTGTGTGTATCTATGTATGAGTGTATAAGACATAATTGAGACGTTGGATGTAGTATATGTTTGTATGATGCAACTTTTAAAACTGTTATTAAATATACGTATACCTATACGTCCGCGTGGAATAGTTACTTTGGATTTATTTTTAATTACCCTAACTATTTTACAAATAAGACTTTCGCATTTATATTATTGCCGATACAGGATGTAAGGGACAAATATTGTAATGCATGTAATAACAAATTATATAGATGTATACATATACATATATATTTATACGTATAAAGAAAACCAGTACAATTTAATAATTATCTATCACATGCATGTTAATATAAATAATAATATTTTATAGTGAAATACATAATAACACAAATGTACTAAAGCCGTATCGCGACGCGTGAATCAGCTGTGTAGAAGGTCAACGGCACATATTATGAAAACTACCTACTAACATAACATTTTACGAAAACTGCCTATTTTTTTTATGGATGATAATGATATGGTGCGCCCACCTGCGCTAACGGTTTACGCTGGCGGGGCACCAATGGAGGATGATAAGATGAACATGTGGTCAGTAAGCCCATCGTGACATATTTACCAAAAATTTATCACGATGGTTTCCAGGGGAACCGCGTGGAGGTCAACCTGATTTGGTATATTGTTAGTTTACATTAATAACAATCCTTTTCCCACCCAAAACTACCTACTAACTGATCATTTTATGAAAACTGCCTATTTTTTTTTATGGATGATAATGATATGGTGCGCCCACCTGCGCTAACGGTTTACGCTGGCGGGGCACCAATGGAGGATGATAAGATGAACATGTGGTCAGTAAGCCCATCGTGACATATTTACCAAAAATTTATCACGATGGTTTCCAGGGGAACCGCGTGGAGGAAATTTGGTATATTGTTAGTTTACATAATAACAATCTTTTCCCACTAACTGATATTTTATGAGATAATATTTATGATAAGATAATATTTATGAAGAAGCGGCCGCGCCGCGCCCTCAGATAATCTAGGCTTGCATTTGGATATAGTGTCGTTGTTATTCATTTGTATATTCATTTGTATATATATATATATATATTTTTGTTTTTTTAAATACAATTTTCCACAGACATATTCGTCCGTGCCTTTTTTAATTTACTTTAATATTATAATATTTATTTAATTTCCACTTTTGTACAACTCCAGCCGAGATGTTACAATTTGCCTAACAGTGACACCGAGGCAGACCTTATCCGTCTGGCCCAGAACCACCGCTGGCCGGCCGGGTGAGTTGACAATATGCAGTGTCACCCATCTTTATTAGGAGGATTAGATTTACCAATATGCATATACAATTATATAAATCTTACACTACTACTAATTTTTAATCACAGTTTTCATTATTATATTAATTTGTAGCATGGTGGTTATCAACAGGGATGTTATGGATATGAAATTTCGGATAGATTTCGGATATAGGAATGATTATTATACGGATGCGGATATGAAATTATTTCGGATTATCCGTTACTTTCGGATAATTTTGTTTACGGATAATAATGTTTTAAGGAATTTCAAAAGTAAAATACAAACGGCTATTAAAATGGTTACATAACGTGTCTTAATTAGGTTACGCCCCTATCCGATGTTGTCCGAAACTTTTATTTCGGATTCGGTTTCGGTTACGTATCTCCTTAACATCCCTTGGTGTTATGAGTATATGTAGCAACACACATACATAATTTATTATTTATTGTAGGTACCTACATACTTGTAGTTAGTGAGTATGCCGGTGAAATAATTGTACTATTTATTGTACTTGTAGTTTAGTTGGTAATGCGTTTATTCGACGAGGAGGACACGTCGAATTTTATTACATTTTTTTCTTCTATTATTTTTATTAAACGTAACCTAATGGATTTAATTTAAAATATTAGAAGTAACATTAAGATTGATTTATTGTGTATTTAATATTTTGACTCTAATGAATTAGTGCTAGTTGGTAGTTTCTATGAATACTAACTAAAACTACCAACTAGCTTTAATAATAGTAAAGTTTCAAGAATTATTCAAAAGAGCAACACGTGTTTTTAAAGTTCTTTTTTATATCATGTTATATATTTTAATGTTTATTTTATGTTTTTTGATTTTATGCACAATAAAGTATTATTATATAAACTACGTATTTTTTTTTTATAATTATTGATAACTATTCTTATGTGTTATTTGAATTTTGATGTTATCCACATATCTTAATATTCATCATAAATTAGAAACAAAGATTTTTAAAAATATATCTATCTATTTTCTTAATAAATCATTTCTCAACAATATTTAATTAACATAAATAATGTAAAATTCTAATTAAAGGTAATTAGGCACAAATAAGTCTTATTTACCTACTGTTACTTCAATAAGCAAAACGTATTAGAAAAAAAATAAATCTAAACAAAACAAAATTTCTTCTGTTTAAGTTAAATAATAAAGTAATGTAAGAAACCTACCTAAGCCTAGGCCTAAGACTAGGCAGATACCATTTATTTTGGCCGGACACGCAGTCAAAACGCCTATGTCCAGCTTGTTTGGGAACCCTATACATAGCTACTGATGTGTCACCGCGCGTCCTTGACTGGCACGTAGATATCTTACGCAACAAAAAAAAAAACAAAGCTAGCAACCAATCTCAAATTTAAAAAATCGGGATGTAAAGTTGGTAAAACCAGGACACTTCTGTCCTGTTCAAAACTGGACTCAGTAATAGAGTTGCAAATGTAGTAAACATACGTAAAATGAAATTCATGTAATTACAATAATAATATCTTAATCTTAATAATATTATAAATGCCAAAATTTATGAGTATGGACGTTTGTTACTCTTTCACACAAAAACTACTGAACGGATTTTGATGAAACTTTACAGTAAACAGTAGCTTATGTATCAGAATAATATATGTCTATTCTATTCTATTCAAATTGAACATTTGAAGAACTAGGGCTCTGCTTAGAAACTATTCAGGACGTCCCAGTCCACTATAAAGACTAGGACACGTCCTGAGAAAACAGAATGGTTGGTAACACTAAGCTAAACTCCTCAAAATTCCATTTAGTGAATGCTTGTGTGATAAATTCAACGATAAATGATTATTTAGATAATTCACACATGCATAAACGGATGAGTGAGCTACAACCACATAGGATGTGTAGTTCTTTGGAAAGTTTTATTCTGTCTATCCCGAGGAGATAAAAAACATCTTTCTCAAGAATTAGGATATTCTTGTCGCTGACGGGTCTAGTAGCGAACAAATTGATAAAGAATTGAAATCGTAATTGAACAAGAAGCGAGCACAATAGATCTGTGCAGGTCGCAGTGTAACACAACACCTGCAAAGGTGTTACCTGACCGTAGCCCAAAACCCTTAATAAAAAAAAAATGGTAGTATTGTAGTATATATAGTTTTTGGTATAATCTATGTCTAAGATATAATGATATAGTATAAATATAGTCTATGATGTTTGCAACGTATACAATAGAGCTTGATATATAAAATGGTGGGAACGGTCAAATTAAATGTGAAACGCAAATTAGCTTTTTATTTAAATTATAGTTTAAATGCAGTACAGGTATAGTGTATACTAGCTGTACACGCGACTTCGTTCGCGTGGAATTGAACTTTATTTTTCTAAAATAAATGTAGCCTAAGTTACTCCTTATTATATCAGCTACCTGCCAAAAAAAGTGCCGTCAAAATCGGTCCAGCCATTTCATAGATTAGCCGGAACAAATATACAAATAGAAAAAAATGTAAAAATATTGTTTTGGTGTATGTACCGTATTTATATTCATATGCATGTAGTAAAAAACGGTTATTACAATGTAATATCACAAATTTTATTTATATTTATAGATGTATGTATATATAAAATGAATTGTATATATATGTAAATTATTATTATTTAGTTTTTAGTATTGCTATGCCTATTTCTCTAGTCCATTCTTGTCCCATCTACCACTTTCTATCTTCTCTCCTCTACCCACAGGTTGTCTAAAAGAGATTGCTCACGCGATAAGACCTTTTGAGCCTTATAACTTACTATCTGTTTATGTTCTTTGCAATATACTTCGCAATAGTAAACAAACTTAGTAGTAATGAGGAATATTTCTAGAAATCCAATATAACAAAGTTGTGTCATCAGACACATATTAAACATGTTATCCTTATATCCCACACTAATCACATTATGCATTAAAAGAAAACGAATAAATAAGAAACATACTGTAATGACTCTTTTTTCTATACCACAATCCTACGTGGTATAAAAAAAACAGTCATTACACACCTGTTAGACAAGCATACGGCCCATCTGATGGTAAATGGTTACCGTAGCATATGGACGCCTGAAACACCAGGGATGTCACGTGCGCGTTACCGATCCTTAAGAAATCTTAATATATAATTAACAATAATTGTCAAAAGTGGATGACGTGGTGAACCCAACAGGGCGAGCCTACTCCCGTCTTATAACAATAGGTATATTGTTATAGATCTTCCAGACTCTGGAGAGTCAGTCAGAAAAATAAATATTTTTTTAGGTAGGTGAGCTTACAGATACTTACTATTAATAATGTTTTTTTAAACACATTCCTTTCTAATTACAGAATACAAGTTTTATGGACAAAACCACGCAATTTGGTGAGTTTTAAATAAGAAAATAATATTCCTATAATTCATACTAGTCCAACTACTCCCAAACTAAGCAGAGTTTGTATTATGGGGCGTTAGATAACTGATATGGTATTACTGGTTAGGTTAGGTTTTTATATTAATTTATTTAACGAATTCGAAATGATGCAAACCGCAATGCGGTAAACCACTAGACTACCGTGGCTGTCAACACTGTAATTACATAAATACTCTTTTCGTTTTCCATTTCGTGACATACAGTGTAACTTCAATATAACGATATGCTCGATGGAAAAAATTCTTCCAATTCCCTTTGAATTACTCATAACTGACAATGTAAATACATATACCATATTTTGCGAACAACCTATTAAAATAACGAATTTTAAATTATAATATTGGTAAATACCTTTAATTAACGACTTGTATCAGAAGCTGTTTGTTATAACATAATGAGTACGTAATGTTAAGGTGAATAAAAAAATAGTGCAATCTCAATATAACAAATCTTAGGCCATCCCCAACTCCAACATCCCCAACAAGCCGAGTTAACACGAGTTAAGCTTTTTTTTTTTACTTGGAGAAAATCCCTCATGGAGGCCCGCCGGCCCCGGGAAAAGCCAGCGGGTACTGTGAGACTCCTACTCACTAAAAACTCCAAGATGTCCCTCACCCAACGCCATATGCCGGAGTCGCGGGATCGATAACAGTCAACCGCGACTCCGACGGCGGTGGCCCACTCTAGCAGCGGGCCCCTTCTCTGCGGGTTCCCTGGTGGAACCCACTACTTCCCCTCCTCTTCTCTGGGGAAGGCGCGCGGGGACATGCGCGCGACTTCTTCGGGCCTAGTGTGGTGGGGTGGGACCGCCCCCGCGGTTGTCACCCCGGCCCGGTAGCGACCTAGGGGCGGCTTAGGCCGCCCCTGCCTCCTTGATCGCTGGGAACAAGAGTTAAGCTGAGTTAACTCGAGTCATGTTTATTACGAGTTAGCGCATCTCTATATTCCCTTCCGATTTGTTATATTGAGGTAGTACTGTATTGCTTTTTAGTCAATCTCAAGGAGTTTATTTCTCTGTAAATTTCACAGATATCTACAGTACGGATCACGATGAAGCCACGTGCGCCGCACTTAGCGAATGCGCCCGAGTTTACCAGTTAGTCAATATTTACAAAGAAAAATTCGAGGCATTCGTATCGCCGCTACTTGTGTTGAGAGTCGTTCAAGTCACTCTGTATCTTTGTACTTTATTGTACGAAGCGACATCTGTAAGTCTAAGCACAGCTATCATAATATTACATAGTCTACGCAACTAATGCGAATAGGTTTTATATTAGTTTCCCAATTGCATCACTAGATGGCGCTAGTTTTATTTTTATAGATGTCGATATTATGGTATTTGTGAGAAATTATATTCTTTTTATACTACGATGGGGCATACAAGCATAAAATTATACTGCCATAACGATTTGTCATACGATGGGCCTTATAGTAAATGGTTTACCGTATTATAATTTATTTTTATTTAGTATTCATTTCATTTGTTTTTATAGAATAACGATTGTGGAATAATTTCTATAGTTTAATATACTACCCGAATCGTAGCGTTGGAGATCCGTGGATAAGCTTATTCAGTATTTATAACGAAATATGTTATGTATGGCATTTGTCAGGTATATATCTACTTACTTCATAGAGGCTAGAAAATTAACAACAATAATAACACAGAACAATTTACACAGCGCCATCTAGTTCCAAATTAAGCAGCGCTTGTGTTATGGGTACTTGACAAGGCATAGACATAGTTAAATATATTTATTTTCTAAACCAATATACATTACCAAAAAACTACCGAATCGGTATAAACACTCAAATTTATGAATAGAAATGTTTGTATCGTGCAGGAATCGAACGCACAACCAGCAGAAGTAAGGCGGTGTGCTAAAAATTTACACTACCGAGGTTGTCATTCGAAATGTACCTTCTACTGACATTAATGTATATATTTATACTATTTATATATTTCTAGAAGTTCGATATGGTAACAGCAGAGTATTTAAGCGCTGCAGCGTTGGATATTTTTGTGTATTGCTACTATGGAAACCAAATTATTACACAGGTACCTAATACAATATAGATAATATAATAATAATAATATCAGGACAATTCACACAGCGCATTCTATACCCAAGTTAAGCTAGCTAAAGCTTGTGTTATGGGTACTACATAACTGATACAAATACATACATATTATACATAAAAAACACCCAGAACGATACAAACAATCATCAACTCATGAACGCACTCACGAATCGAACCCGTCACCATCGGAAGTAAGGCGGTGTGCTAAACCGATAGACCACCGAGGCCGTCAAATAAATACTGATACAAAGTATTGCAGCTTGTATTTTTTTGTCTGTAAGAAGACAGAAGACAGAACTAGAAGAAATAGACTGACTATATCTGATTTCATAGGAAGTAAATATAGGGCTTACTTGTTTTACTTACTTTTTTAGGAGTTTCTTGCTCATTCTTGTGATGAATCTGCAGTCCGAATGAGTGGTAGAATCAAAATATGACTATTCAAAAGTGCTTGTAATGAGTTTATTTGAATAAAGATTATTTCTATTTCTATTTCTTACAAAAAAGTGTATAATATTTTATACTTTTATACTATATACCTATTTACCTACCTATAAATTAGTGACATTGTGTAAAAGGGAATAAATATTTATATTATTATTACAATATTATTATTCTACGAACGTAGTATATAGATAATTAAAATCATTTATTCAAAAAACTTGCATTGAAGTACTTTTGAACAGCAATATGGTAGGGCCATCCAATTGGATGCTTCAGTTCGAACTGCCAAGAACCTCAAAATATTTGTTTTATCATCAATGTTATTAATTTATATATAAGTTTCACACACGCAGTCTAAGTGAATTGAAATGACCAATCACTGACCAGTTTCTTGACTGGTCGTATTATAACCAATCGTAACAGCAATCGGCTGATCACGTGACAATTTTCGTGGTCAGAAGTCTTGTCTCTCGATTCGATGCGAACGGTGGTTGCAACGTAGCTAAGTGTTATAAAATCCAAATTTAAGCCAAAGAACCCTATGAACCATCATCATTCCTCAAGTTGTGATACCTGAAGTGGACAGCAGATCCGAAGTGGAAACCCGAAGAGCAAAACGTAACAGGGGAGAATCGATCCCCGGCTCTTCCAGGGGAATATACGACGATCCGGCTATATGTAAGTAGTGCTTGGTCTATATCTTTCCACAAAGACTGGCGTGTGTGATCGTCTTACATAAGCTGGATCTCTCAAACTGTCATCGGTTCTACCGAATTGATACAATATTAATAACCGAAAAATGTTGGTAACATTTGTGAGATTATTAATATTTTTAGTAAGTTTTAAATAAAAAATATTATAAGTAATTTTTTTATGTCTTTAATATTTTTTTTCAGTTATAATTTAAAAATATTACAGAGCATTTAAGTAGTGTATATGTATCAATATAATTAAAGTATAGAATCCCTCATCTGAACAACTAACGTCATACAAAGTCGTCTCCCAAACAGAACATTACCGGACGTAAGGCGCCGTAAACTTGTAGATCACAGAATGTTGTTGGGCTGTTTTTAATATACCAAACAAGGTTTTTTTAATGTTTGCAGTGGTTTTATTACGATTAGGAAATACAAATGTTATTATTTTACGTTACACACAAGAGTGCTATGCCATGACAATTTTTACGGGCAATCCTATAGTGTTGCCACATTTTTTCTTTTATAACGCAGGGGAAAAACGAGCATGTGGCTCAACTGATGGTAAATGATTACCGCCGCCCATGAGCACCCACAACACAAGGTCAATTGCAATACGTTGTCGGTCTTTTAAAAAGGAATAAGCTCTTTTGTTAAAGGTATCAAGGTTGGGAAATACCATTGCTGGAAGGTGATTCCACAATTCCACATATAGTCTAGGGTTGACAGTACAATTAATTTTATTTACCAACATCGAAGCTGTCAATGAATTGAGTGAATTTGTCAGGCGGAGCGCGTATCTACGGCTGCCTACCAGTGCTCCTGGCACACCATGGGCGTAAAACCTCGGAGGATGCTCACCAATTTGTTATTGGCAAGCCAGCGGTCCGTTGTCATCCGCGCTGGAAGATTCGTGCATATGGATCTACACACCTATGTTAATGTGAGTTTTTTTATGAATGAAAATCGAATGGTGCACCCCGGCGCTAACGATTTCTGCTGGCGGGTCATCAGTGGATGATGATAAGATGAACATGAGATCAAGTCAGTTAACCTATCATGACCAATTCACCATGAATTTATCACGATTATTTCCAGGGGGAACCGCGTGGAGGTCAACTTGACATGGTACATTGCTAGCAATAAGATCATCAGTCCACATTACTAACCATCCTCTTTCCTCCCTGTTAATTACATTAACCTCGAGTGCTGTTAGAGGAATAATAGAAAAGCTGACATAATTTATCATACCCCTCGGTGGTCTAGCGGTTTAGCACGCGGCCTTACTGCCGATGGTCGTGGATTCGATTCCTCGCACGGACAAGCATTTGTTAACCTGTCAAATTCTATGAAATGAGGAAGCTCTATTATTTTCCAATAGATGTCGCAACTTTCTATTACAGATGAGTAATTCCAGTGCTCTAATATAGATGGCTAATTTTATTAATTTAGATATACCAAATGTTTTTGTAGGTAGATTGATAGTTTGTGATGCAGTAGAAGCTATTTATTACTTTACTATGTTGATAGGTTTATTTTAAGAAGCAGTTCCCGCGACTTCGCCGGCGGGGTATTTAAGTTTATTTTTCTAAAATAAAAGTAGCCTAAGTTACATCAGCTACCTGCTAAAAAAGTCAGAATGGGTCCAGCCATTTCAGAGATTAGCCGGAACAAATAGATAGACAGACATTTCAATACTACAAATAGAGATAGATTATCCTATTGTTCCACTAACTTTTGTTGTTTAACAAATATTCCTTTGATATTCACTATTAATTTTTAATCAGACAGACAATATTCAATACTACAAATAGATATGTATGTATTTACGAAAAAAAATCTATGTATTTGTATCAGTTGTCTAGCACCCATAACACAAGCTTTAGCTAGCTTAACTTGGGTCTAGATGGCGCTGTGTGAATTGTCCAGAGATTATTATTTGTACACGTTATTTAAGTACAAAATCACGGGCCAAATATTTATGGTATGGCAGAGCATCTACCTCTCACACTCTTTCCACAAATCCTGAATAGTCTAAGATAACGACTCAACATCGAGTCATTATATGTGTAATTATTTCCAGATCATCAAGACATCATTTTCATATTACACATTACTGGTGAACGTCAATGAAAAGCATTGAACTACTGTGAGCGTAGTGGTTGACCGAGAGTCCAAAGATCGTGAGTTCAAAGCTGGCCGTTAATAGATTAATTCGAGATTAAAATTTCAAATATACTCACCAAAATCTGGTCATTAGAAGACTTTCGCTTGTCCTCTATATGCACTTTTTGTAAGGATTGAATCGAGTATTAGCGCTCTATCACGCTTACACTGGACCTACCCTACCCTATCTACCCGCAAAGAAGCTCAGCGTTGTTGTCTGAATATTAAATGCTATCTTGAAACTAGCATATTTTTAAGAGAGTAAAAAGAGCATAATATACATATATATATCTCTCATTAGTCAAAGCGGACCTCGGTGGTCTAGTGGTGTAGCACACCGCCTTACTTCCGATGGTAGCGGGTTCAATTCCTCGCACGACACAAACATTTGTATTCATGTGTACGATTGTTTGTATCGATCTGGATGTTTTCTACGTATAATCTATGTATTTGTATCAGCTATCTAGTGCACATAACAAGCTTTAGCTATTTTAACTTGGGTCTAGATGGCGTTGTGTGAATTGTCCTGAGATTATTATTATTATAATCATTAAAAAAGTATTAATATAGTAATATTAATACTTGTATTGTGTAATGTATTTTCTTTAATATAATGTATAGGACATATTAAATGAAATATACCGTAATTATTACTCAGAATGTTATTTTATTTACGAATTTAATATACAATTTTTGCTCATACATCAATTAAATCGATAGAATTGGGCGACGCGACGGTCTCGGCCCGCTGTCAGCCTACGGCAGCCATCAAATTAAAACGGTTGCAATACATACTTCTCATGTGACGCACACAACAATAATTTTATTACTAAATTTGTTACAACGTGGTAGAAATTACGGTTCATTACCAACCGGTAAAGGAAAGGTACAAAGATATACTCATTAAAGATTAAAAAACGTCCGTTATAATTGTTACTATTGTTTTATTCTATTTTAATAGTTGAAATCATTATTCTGCTATTGTTTTTAAACAAATGCTCTATTTTAACATTGCATCCGTTATATATAAATTATATTTATATATAACTAGGACTACTGGTATAAAAACATTATTCATAAATAAAACAAAAATGGAGAAAAGTCTGGCTGGTTATTAAGTCGATAGGTAGGCCCCGGACAGTGTAACCCCGGTTCATACCATGATTACGATATAAAAATTTTAACAAAATTTCTCTTTTGGTATATAAATAACAAACATTTTTAAACAATTGCACAGGTCACATGAGATAATACAAGCAGTTGGTAAGTTCTAATTCGCGTCCGAGATGTGGACGCTTATCATAACATTACTTTATACTTTGTTCATAATATTCTATGCGTTGTTTACAATATTTACGCTTACTACTTATATGTTTTTACTCCATTTTTCATCAATGTTTCTTACATTTTGGGTCACGTATCGAATTAACTGAAACTAAGCTCGGCGTCAACGCCTCCTCAACTTAACACTAATTAAATTGGTAAAATAACAAAAAACGCGCATGCGTCAGTTGTCGCACAAAAATAAAATATACACTTTAGCAGACCGGCAACTAAAAATCGCTTGTAACCGTTGTACGTTCGAGAGACGCGTCTGGAGGCCGTCGACGTTGACACCGAGGTTTATCCTAATTTTAATTTAATATTATATTCAATGCAACACAAGCGTACATGACAGCAATCATACAGACATCCGTACAGACAAATACTTCTGCAACATTCATAAACCATCTGTCCACAATAAAAACGCGCACAGGGAGTTATCAGCGCCATCTAACTGCCACTAATCAAAAAAATATAGTAAAAAAAATTATAACTACATGCAACATAGGCAGTTTCACAATAGAATGGCGGGTACGACAGTTTTGAGTATGGGTTTTACACACGGGCGACTAAAACGTCGTCCACATAATCGGCCAATGTGTAAAATAACTTGACACTACTGTAATAAGGTCCGTTTTGCCGCCGAATTGTCCAGCAATCTGTTGGAACCAGCAACGGACTGTCAATGCAACTCAATTATCTGACTTATTGGTAGAGAGCGGGCAACACAATGCTGGTAATTAGAATAATACTTGATTAAAATTCATAATTTAAAAATTAATACAATAACAATGTAAATCCATATAAATCTAAGGGTTTAAACTTACACCGTTGACAGCGCCATAGCCTTGTATGCGCATTTTACGGATAATTGAAGGTGGAGTAACCACAACTTATATTTTAAAATATTCCTAAATGTATTTAATATAGGTTTTAACTTTCATTACATGTGGCATATACTGTTGCCGCTCAAACATAGCCTAATAGTAGAGACACGACATCGACTAAGTATCGATATTTTTCTAAAGAGTCGCGACATTAGACAATTTCCTATACCACATACTTTTATTTACTAAAATTTAATATATTAATCGTAACAGACTTAAAATAACCAACTAACAGCCGAAAAAAGCCGCGTAGTCAATAATCGGGAGTCAGTACTCGATAATTCTTAATAACACTAACTTGTACCACAATAAAAGTATTGCGTACGAAACTACCGATATTATAAGTATGCGTTTACGAGTTCATCGATAACTTTTGTATCGATATCGAGAGAAAAGTACTCGATAATGAAAGGTATCGATACTTCGTCGGTGTCTCTATCTAGTGGAAGCGACGCGTCATGTTTGGAAGCATATCGAAGCGATTCGAGTTGCAACTGTCAACGGGGGGCGGTCCGTACGATGGTTTAGTGGGAATCCATGCAAGTCGTCGGCGGCAGCGGGCGATTAGCTGGAGAACAAACACAAGTTTAGTGGAAAGATGCGGTGGAGTTTATCGTTAAGCGACAATGAATCTAATAACATATGAATAAGATCTAATATTGCTAAATCTACCAAATGTATCTGTATCTGAGTAAGTATTTCTGTCTCACCATAGCTATAATCCTATGGGTTCCTAAGCTCAGTTCTGTTATGGCAGTGTTTATTACAGAAAAAAGGCATGGTGTACCATAGTCATACGGAGCAGAAGTAGCGCATTATTACTACCACATTTAAAAGAAAGTGACCATCAGCATATGCTATTGCAATTCTGTCAAAAGGAAATAGTCTAATTTGTGACCATAACCCGAACAGATCACTTCCCACAAGCATTCATATACTGCTATTCCTGAAGATTAGTTATACCCTATATTTAGCGATTCTATTACTCATATCTCTCTCTCTCTCTCTATCCCTATATTTCCATTTTAAATAGCTAACAGTATGGAAGCAAATTGCTTACGATAGAATTGTTGGTGAGACAGAGATAGACAACATTGTACAAAATATAATTTAGGCAATTAATTTTATACAGACACCTATATAAAATTCTGTTGACAATAAACTCCACTGTAGTTGAATAAGATCACAAGAGACATCAGAGACATGCTTGGAGACACCATTATTAAAATGGTGTTAAGGTTGAAATCACTGACAATTTTAATGGCAATGAATCAGGGGATTGATTCTCATTCTCATTTGAAAGATATTGAAAGTGACAGTATTGGTATTGTCTACGAAACACTATGATTGGGTCCGTCTTCGGCCAGATTCTTATACCCTCTTTAGTTTATATATACATATATAGCCTGTATCACAAACTGAAATAATGTTGAAGTCCCTTAACAAATTCACTTTCTTTTCATAACATGAAATTACTCAAGTATCAACCAAAACCTGCCAGTTACAATATCTTTCAAATTCTGTTTAAAAAGAAGAAAAGGTCCCATTCCCATTTAATTTTTTATTTATAAGTATTTTTACTTTAGTAATTATAAGTATCTTCGCGATTATAGAACCAATTTTAATAAAAATAAGGCCAATTTTTCATCTAACGATGGGTCTGACGACCATTAAAATGGACGAAAGTGCCTAAATAAAAAAAAAAAGAATTAAAAAAAAACGATAGGTTTTACCCTCGCTGTCGCTACATATGAATATTGTCAAGATTTTTAGTTAAAACTTCATAGATAAGATTTCTATGAAATTAACAATGTTAGTAGAAATATATGGGAATGGACATAAAAAAAACAGTATTTGCTTGCCTTCATGTATCTTTGAAGTTTTTGAGAAAAACAATGTAACATACCCAGTCCTGTACAGGTATTTAATTTAAATGAAATATGAAACTAAAATGTAAGAAAGAAAAGGAAAGATAGGTATTATAATTAGGGTTTTCATTACTGCATTTCGAGGAACCTAGTATATTTAAATATAAGGTACGAGTTTTTGCAATTTTATGATATTATTAAACGTTTATTTATGTGAATATATATTTTAGTACAAATGTACATACTTTTATGGTTGAATTGATATTATTGGAGAACAATTTCTCGAATCGAATCTATTTTATGTGAAAACTGATACGACCATTCAAACATGAATGAGACGAGACTTTGGATAATACATCAAATGTAATAGTCTGTTTGTCCTCTCGGAAACTAAATTGACAGGTGTAAATGTCAAATTATCAAATGTTACCAGCTACAGCGAGGTAGTGATGTACTACCTCGATACTGATTTGTTCTATCGTAAGTTTTTATTTTAGGCGATTAGTCTTAAAGGTTTATACGTAGTTTGCATAACATATTTTCGAAATATTATCTGTGTTTCCATGACTGTTATTGTATTTTTATCGTTGTCCCCAAAAAAAACAACAAATTTTTGTGGTTTTTACAGTATTAATCTACAAACTAACATTTCTTTTCTTTCAAGCAGCTAAATATTTTAAATAGGTGTATGTTTAATGAATATGACACCATGCAAAGATCACTTCTTTTATAAGTCTTTGTTTTAGTGAAATATATGTCAATTAAAAAAATTAGTTCAATACCACAGTTTATTCATTAATACCTATACATTATTAATTTTGTGTTGATGCGTTTTAAATAAACATTTATGGGTAACCTATAAAAATAGGTAATTAATATTCGATGGTGCCACAGCCCTATTTAAAAATTGCTAAAAGCTGGCAACATAGGTAATGTCTATTTGTTTCCGAGATTAAAAACAGACGGTAGGATATTTTTTTATGTAAACCCGTTCTCTAACGCAGATCAAATGAATAAATATAAACTATTTAAGAATCCACAATTGAAACCCGTCCCACCATTACTATAAGGCCCTTACGACCGGCCGTGGTATTTGGTGGACTCACTTCTTTTTGTTCTTGGGCTGGGCCCGCGGCGGCGTGTTGGGGCGGCCCATGTTCAGTCCGGAGTACAGTTTGCGTTTGTCCGCCGGCTTCAGGATCTGGAACGAGCACATCAGGGTCTCGTCCACGGACATCAGGGCACCTGGAACACCATAACAAATTTTGGGGTTATAAATTATGAATTTGACCTGACGAGTAACTGGTTAATATGAATGGGAAAGAATCTTGAGTCATCAAAATAAGTAATAACTAATAACTGTATTGCATTGTGTGTACGTACACTTACAATTAAATATTATATACAAATCAACAGTACAAGTCAGGTGCTTAGAGGTATCCTGTAATTTAATTTAAGTTAGTAAGTTACGGCCTTGGTCCAGTTTTTAACATACCGCTTTGCTTCAGAAGGTCGCGGGTTCCATTCCTCGCTCGGTGCAAACATTTGTATGACTATGATTGTTTGTCCGATACAAACAATCTGGGTGTTGTCAATGTATGTTACGTATATGTATTTAAAAAAAAAACTCTAGTATTTCTATCAGTTGTCTTGTATCCATAACACAAACTCTGCTACCGTGGGGCTAGTTGGCGTTGTGTTAATCGTCCAGGGTTATTTATTTATGTATTATAGGTCACTCTATTCTCTCAAGTTTGAATTTAAAAATTAATCTATATTATTGTAGACATGTATAATAATAATACTACTAATATACTACTGGCCGAAAGGTGTGGTGTATCGGCGCTACCGTGGCAGATTGCCGTCTTCAGTGCCGTGATCACACAGACAATATTATTGTATTAGTTTTTAAATATTATATTATATGTATGTTAGTCTATAAGGTATTTATAATATGGGCCTAGTTGTCTGAAATAAATGAATAAATAAATAAAATAAAAAATTTGAAAAGAATACCAGCTGAGTTTCTTCTCAGTTCTTCTATTTTTTTATATATATATTTTTAATTCTTTTTTTTTATAACAGAGGGGACAAACGAGAATGCGTCTCACCTGATGGTAAGTGATTATCGCCGCCCATGAGCACCCACAACACCAGGGCAATTGCAATACGTTGTCGGCCTTTTAAAAAGGAATAAGCTCTTTTCTTGAAAATTTCAATATCGTATCGGTTCGGAAATACCATTGCTGGAAGGTGATTCCACAATGTGGTTGTGCGTGGCAAAAAGTTTCTAGAAAACCGTACTGTGGAAGGCCGCCATTCATCCAGATGATCAGGATGGTACTACTAAATTCTGAAGACATTTTGAATTTGAATATTATAAATTTACTTGCTGTGACACTGACCTGCGTTATCAAACTCTCCGCAGTAGTTGGGCGCCGAGAAGAGCGTCACCAGCTGCCGCTTGGCGAAGAACTCGTATCCATCCTCTACGACCTGGTGAGCGCGGCAGATCAGGTCGAACTCGTGCTTCGATAAGAACTTGCCGACCACCTGGAAACGTTACAGCAATCATGTCTTTAATGTTATATACATATATCATTCTCGTGTCACAATGTTAGTTACCATACTCTTTAGAAACGGCTTGACAGATTTTCATGATATTTTATGCATATTCTATCTATTTCTCATGCTCCTAAGTGATAATGGTTTTTTATTTTTATTCTTTACAAAAAAAAACAATATAAAGTGACATTAAAAAACAACTCAAAATGTTCACCTTGTTTTTTTTCAATTTTCACATTATACTACGTTCTTAAGTATAAACCTTGTATTTTACTCCCAATAACAGAGGCTTTGCTTAGCTTGTAACTAGATGGCGCTGTGGGAATTGTCCAGAGTTATCATTATTATTATATAATATACTAATCTTAATAATACTATTAACGCGAAAGTTTGTGAGTATGGATATTTATTACTCTTTCACGCAAGAACTACTGAAGGGATTTTGATGAAACTTTACAGTAATATAGCTTATGCATCAGAATAACACAGTCCATATTTTTTATTGAAATTTAACACGGGTGAAACCGCGGGCACAGCTTGTATAATATAGATTTTTGATTTTATAAATTAGAATAGTCAGTTTGGTTGTACGCGCCAATCTCAGAAACTACTGTCTTGAATTGAAAAATCCTTTTAGTGTTTTATACCCCATTTATTTTATTACCTGATGGTAAACAGTAACCGTCGCCTACACACGAACAACACTACGGACATTACATCATCAACGTATAAACCCACCTCTGTGCCGAAGGTAAAGCTGACCCCGCGGTCGTTCTCGCCCCACCCGGCGGTGTCCTTGTCGGGGTCGGACCACAGCAGGTCGCAGAGCAGACCCTGGTCGGGGACATCGGTGGGCCGCATGATCCGCCGGATCTGTTCCATCGCCTGCAGGTCGGGTGATAGACCACCGTGGCAGCAGAAGATTTTCTCGTCAACTGTAACAATTACACACAATTATTAATATTGGGAATAGTATATTATATATATGGAATACGTCATGGCGAAAAGCTACTCTTAGTTATGTGGACTAATACAATAATCCCTTTGTGAGCAACATACTTAATATAATGTCAGGTCCACCAATCACAATGGTTTGCCCTGGAAACCATTGTGATAAATTCCTGGTGAATTTGCAACGTTGCGCAGAACGTTGCATCATTATCATTTATCAGAAAAAAAGAGTCAGGTTGAATAGAATATAACATTCTTTATTCAAATAAATTTAGGTACTTTAGGATGATATGTATGTGGGAGAGAGAAGGAAGAATTATGTCGTCTCTACCGCACACCGTTGACGTCATGCGGCCATTACGCTATAAACGACGAATGTGAATAGTAGTGTGTCTGAGAGTCGATTAGGAAGACCGATGGTACAGAATAGTCATCCTTTATTTTTTAATCTACCGTTCATTCGGAAAGCTGTCTTATTACAATAAGATCGAGACAGAAACTTGCGTGTCGCCCTTTTAAATAATTGTTCTAACTTTACATTTTTAAGTCGAAATGTGTGAATAAAAAATAAGACAGTTAAACTGACTCTAAGCAGGAACTTCGCGTATATACGTGACCTATGCGGTATTATGTTATATTACACTTGAAGTTGCATCGGGCGTGGCTGAAGATTAATATATCATTAGTTATTACACTGTAACATGACCGCCATATCTCATCCTTTAAACCAAAACACAGCCAGCTGCTTGGTGGTTGTAATATAAAAGAGAGAGGTATACGCATACGATTTTGTACAAAATCTATATAGCTAAAAATATGTGTTTTAACTAATTTAGTGTCTACATGAATTACAAATATACGAAGCATGTTTTAATCCTCATTCCGCAATAACATAAATTATAATTTTAATTAGCATACACTCCAAAGTGTTATAATAATATTTACATTTTTTATTATCGTTATTATCTAAGTGTACTTTTTACAACAACATCGAAGGTCAATGAAACTTAGCGGTTCCCACTACATACTTATCAATGATATTGTTGACAAACTATTTCAATAATTTTTTAACATTATTAGATAACATATATCGTTGGCCGTTTAGAATTTAATTTATCTTCCACATACTTATAGTTTACATTATATGCCTATAGTCTATCGATCACCTACTGGCTAAATACCAATCGAGATACGCATTGGAGTTCTTGAGAAATATGACAGGCCGTCAATTAAAACGAACATTCTATTAAATAAAAATATCATAAAAAATTATTGTTAATCCCGTCTAAATTGGAATGGGACGTTAGTCATAATACTATTATAAACGTGAGTTTGTTTGTTAGTCGATCACGTTTAAATGACTGAACGGATTCTGTCATCAGATATTAAAAAAAAAACTAGCTCACTATCATTTCGCCCCTTCAGATCGATCCCCCGTTTAAATTATGACACCTTGAGTCGAGGTTCGAAACCCTAGCGGTGCCCTCAGACTAAAGTCGTATCGTCAGACAAGGAGACGTCAAGCTTGGAGCGGCTGAAGGCCAACTTCAGCCGCTCCAAGTCCTTCCGTGGGTGCCATATGCACTCCCCTCTATCGTCTGTTGAAGCTGTAAATCCAGCTGCGGATAGCAGCATTAGAATAATTCGTAAAAATACCCTTGCTGCAAATGTATCTGTAACGATTCATAGGTTCAAATGATCTGTAACAGCTATGAGTAACATCTGTTAAATCCTTACTATAGAGGTCAGTTGTGCCGACGCTGAACCGTGAGATATATTAACGTACACGAGTGCACGGGCGCTGTCAAGGTGCTGGTGGTCAGGCGCCGACGCGAATATGCGATAACCTTACATATCTAGCGGTTACTAGTTAACCACATCTACATACCCATATATAGAATTTATTAATACCTCGGTGGTCTAGCGGTTTAGTACATCGCTTTACTTGCAATGTACTGTGCAACGAATCAAAACCACGACGGGTTTGATTCGTTGCACAGTACAAACGTATATATTTACGACAAAATTCAGATTGAATTTAAATTAAAAAAATCTTTATTCATGTAGGTCTATTACAGACTCTTATTGTATGTCACATCTACCGTCAGTTCGGAATGATTTCCAGATGAGAAGAACTGATAATATTTGTCATCATCATTCATTTATGCCTTTCCTTTATGCAATTATTTGGGGTCGGCGCAGTATGTCATTCACTTCCACAGTACAAACATTTGTATTTAAGATTAGTGTTTGTATCCGTCTGGGTGTTTTCTATATATATTAATTATGATATATATAGAAAATATCAGTGTATATTATCATTATCATTAATGCATGATAATGATAATATGCACTTCAGACAAAATTCAGATTGAATTTAAATTAAAAAAATCTTTATTCATGTAGGTCTATTACAGACTCTTATTGTATGTCACATCTACCGTCAGTTCGGAATGATTTCCAGATGAGAAGAACTGATAATATTTGTCATCATCATTCATTGCCTTTCCTTTATGCAATTATTTGGGGTCGGCGCAGTATGTCATTCACTTCCACAGTACAAACATTTGTATTTAAGATTAGTGTTTGTATCCGTCTGGGTGTTTTCTATATATATTAATTATGATATATATAGAAAATATCAGTGTATATTATCATTATCATTAATGCATGATAATGATAATATGCACTGTCCTGTGCTAACGGTTTTATTTTACGCTGGCGGGGCATCAGTGGAGGATGATAAGATGAGTATGAGGTTAGGTTAGTGTGCCCATTGTGATTAAATTACCAGGAATTAATCACTATGGTTGCCAGTGGGAACCACCGCGTGTTGGTCGACCTAACATGGTACAACCCTTCTCATCGGGGAGAAGAGGATTGTTAGTAATGTGGACTAATGATCCTATTGCTAGCAATGTACCATGTCAGTTCGACCTCCACGTGGTTCCTCCTGGAAACCATCGTGATACATTTCATCGTGATTCCCGGTGAATTTGTCACGTTGAGCTAACTGATCTGACTTCATGTTCATCTTATCATCCTCCACTGGTGCCCCGTCAGCGTAAACCGTTAGCGCAGGCGAGTGCACCATTCCATTATCATCCTTTAAAAAACCCTTCTCACCTCTATGTATATTATGTATTTACAAAAAGAATTAAGTACATATTTATATCACTAGTAGCCGTAATGCTACTTAGCTTGGTACTGTAGTGACTTGTCCATGGTTATTAATATATTTTTATCATTACGTGCATGCAAAAAACCAAATAGCAACCAGCTCACAATAGTAAAAATAAATAGGTACTTAAGTAATAAAATGAATCAGTCACAGAGGCCAGAGCAGACCAGTCCGTACAAGCAACTTACGAAAATAGCACAATAAACATTTCACATTCCCGTAATGGACGTGCCGCGGTATAAAATTACAATCAGCGCAATAATCCTTACAATGAAGTACGGACCTGAATAAATTATATTACTCTGCGCCGTTTCAGGGTTACGAATGATCTACATCCTAATGGTTGTACATTTAGCAGCAGATGAGTCCTAAGTTCTCTTCATATTATCACATAGTTACAAAATCTAGTAAGTTTAAATAATCTATACCTACATATTAATAAAATTGGAGTGCCCGTTTACTACATGCATATGAATATAAATACACATACACCAAAATAAGATTTTTTACAGTTTTTGTCTGTCTGTCTGTTTGTCCCGGTTAATCTCTGAAATGACTGGATCGATTTTGACGGGACTTTTATTGGCAGGTCGCTGATGTAATAAGGAGTAACTTAGGCGAAAAAAATTCTCTAAATAACTTTTTTGTTAAATTCCACGCGGACGAAGTCCCGAGAACAGCTAGTAATATAATAAAAGTAAGTGTGTTTGTTAAATTAGCAAATAAGGTATAATTAAAACAGTGCTCAATGTATTTAGATACCAAATAAGATAGGCTATCTCTATTCTCGTAATAATATCTATCTTTATGTAGAAATCGTATATGTAAAAACGTTTATTATTAAGCAAAATGCGACAATTTGCTTAAACCTATGCACAAAATTAATATATCTATGAATAAATTGGATGGAATATATACAATTCAGATAATCACCAATAAAGGCAATACAACGATGACACTTATCGTATTTGACCAAACTGGCTGATTACCTAGATGTGGTAATTTTCACTAACTACTAATTTTTGGCCAGAATATGACTGTATACGTATATAAACATATTGTATAGGCAGCGCGTCTCCTAGAAAATTAAATTATATCAAACGTTTACTCTGCAATTTAATTAAATACACATAAATATAATCCAGATAAACCCCATAAGAATATTGTAAAAATTTATGAAAAATAAACATCCAGTGAAAGTAAAAAAAATCGTTATAATCTTAACTAGCAAAGGTAAGATGAAATACTGGTTACTTTAGATTGAATCTACTACAAAACGGAAATGGTGCAATAATGAAACTACAGCATGATTTTTGGCTATAGGCCAAATGCAACATTACGTCTACTCGTTATTCAGTCCGTTAGCTAATCTATATAAATCGATTACCATATATATAACTAAGCATATGTCAGTGCACCTGTAAATGGCTCTATGATTATTTGTGTGATAAAAATGAAAAAAAAAATTGAAATTTACCATGTTGAATAATATCGACGTTCTGTTTTTTTACATTGTTTTAATTGTTACGTGTTACCGATAAATTTATTAATTTTATTTGTACTAATATTCATTTATTTATTTAAACTTTAATGCACAAATACAACATATAACTGTACATATAACGAACAATAATATTATAAAGTTAGAGTATGTTTGGTTAAAAGCGCTAATCTCAATAACTGTTGATTCAATTTGGTTTCTTTTAGCGCTGGAGTTCATTTATCGTTAAAGCAATAGGCTATATTGCACAACGTTATTATAACGGTAGCAAGGAATAATGTTGGAAAAAACAAAGAAAATTT